CTGCTGTGGCCCCGCATGGCGCAGATTTCCACCCATGAGAGAGAACCCCCTCAAACCTGTGCCAGAAAGGAAGGAGCTCCATGGAACCAGTGCCATGCACAGTGGTGCAGAGCTGGGCACACCGGTGCCCTCATCAAGGGGCTTCCTCCTTGTGCCCACCCTGGGGCCAGGCTGACCAGGACACAGGGACCCATCAGGCTCCCAGTGAGATGTAGACGGGGGTTCCAGGCTTTAATTCATGTCATGATACACATCAAAGTACTGGCAGCAGCACAGGAAGCAGCGGGGGGACAGGGCAGCATGGGGGGGCCTGTGCAGGCACTGCACGGGACTTCGCTTCGTGGTGGAGGTGCTGGAGCAGAGGGGAAGCTCGTGGGCAGCGCGGCGCCGGCCGGCAACCCACAGCCACCGCGGCTGAGCCCAGCCGGCGCCGAGGTGTCCCTGTGGAGGGTGACACATCGGGGAGAAACAGCCTTGGGATTGGAAAAGGCAGTTCTGCTGCTCCAGCTCCGGCTGGTTGTTACCCACACGGAGCATCCCGCTGGGGATGGCACTGCTGGCAGGACTGGGACACTGCTACCACGGGGAGCCGGAGCTCTGCCATGCACCGATCCCTACCTGTGCCCAGCACAGCAGCAAAGTGCAATTTTCCCATCTCCCAACCAAACTCCGATGCTGTTTGGTGTCGGCACATCTCCAGAGAGGAGTCTTCCCACCATCTGCACGCCCGCGGCTCTCCCACTGCCCCAGCCCAGCACCTTCCTGGCCTGGTGCTCCCAGCTCATCCTTCAGCTCCTCACCACCGCCACCACACCGGGGCCTCAGTGCTGCTGGTGCCAGGGGGGCCCTGCCTCGGCGCAGCCCCTCCTCCATGCTGCCCTGCTGCCAGTGGGGAAGCAGCCTCCACCCTCGGGCTTTGTGTTTGATCTCGTTTTTATTTTGCGTGCTTTCTGCCTTGCCGGAGGCTCTCGGCGCAGCCGGAACGAGCCTCCTCTTCCTCCTCCTCCTCCTCCTCCTCTTCACACCCGCGGCAGCGCGGTGCTGCAGCTCCTTCCCAGTATAGCATGGCACGGGGATGCGGCTGGCGGCTGCTGAGATCCGGCTCCGCGCTGGCACTCGCCGCCGTCACTCCCTGGGCGAGCAAGCACAGCAGAGGTTACCCCGCGCCAGCACCCGGCACACCGGTGCTGCGGGTGGCCACGCCAGGCAGGGCAGGGCAGGGGGATGCTGGGGATGCCCTGGGGAAACCTCCCTCCTCCTCCTCCTCCTCCTCCTCCATGGCTAGCGGGAGTTAAGCTGTGGCAATGGGGAAGGGAGAAAGGGCTCCTGGTGAACCACGTGGGCTACTCAAGGACAGGAGGGCTGAGGCTCCGGGTGCTGATAGCACCGGCCTTGTGCCTGGCAGCAGGAAAACCCCAGCAGAAGGACAAGGGGTGGGGAATGGGCAAGGAGCATGACGGGGTGGTTCCACAGCCAACCGGAGACTGATGGCACCCTGACACACCAGGCAGGGCTGCATGTGCGCTTCCAGTCAGGCATGCCAGCAGCTCCTGTGGCTGCTGACAGGACCGTCACATGCCCCCAAGCCCCGGGGAGCATCTAGTGACCCCCAATTCCCACTGGGACAGAATGTCCTGCTGCAGAAGGGAGTGTGAGTGGAGCACCGGTGCTCCCACAGGCCTCAGGAAGGGAATCGGCTGCAGGGGGACATGCCGGGAGGGAGGGGGCTCACGTGAGGGCGGCCTCAGCCCTATGGGCACACTGGTGCGCGGTGAGGTCAACCTCCTGGGCGAAGCTCCGGCCGCACTGGGTGCAGGAGAAGGGTGTCCCGGCAGTGTGGGTGCGCCGGTGGATCCTCAGGGAGCCCTTTTGGCTGAAGGCCTTGCCGCAGTCGGGGCAGGCAAAGGGCCGCTCGGTGCCGTGGCTGCGCTGGTGCGTGGCCAGGCTGCTCCTGCAGCTGAAGCCCTTCCCGCAGCGGGCACAGGCGAAGGGGCCACCGGCGGCTGCCTCATACGGCTGTGGCGAGTGGCTGCTGCAGGGCTGGACCGTGGCGGCAGCGGTGCCGGGCCGGTCTTCGGCGTGGGTGCGCTGATGGTTGAGGAGGAAGCGCTGCTCGCGGAAGCGCTTCCCGCAGCGCTGGCAGGAGAAGGGCTTCTCGCCGCTGTGGATGCGCTGGTGGGTGAGCAGGTTCTGCTTGAGGCTGAAGCTCTTCTGGCACACGCCGCACTGGTAGGGACGCTCGCCGGTGTGGATGCGCTGGTGGATGATGAGGTTGTGCTTGAGGCTGAAGGCTTTGCCGCACTCGGCGCAGATGAAGGCGCGCTCGCCGGCGTGATGCTTCTGATGCCGGGTGAGGCTGGGCTGCTGGCCGAAGCATTCCCCGCAGAGGATGCACTTGAACTCCTTCTCCACCTCCTCCTCCGCTTGGCTGTGGATCACCAGCGCCTTCTCGTCGCCCAGGCCCTCCTCGCCCCCCGGGAAGGCGAAGGGCTTCTCACCCGCCGGCGACGCCAGATCCGTCATGGGCACCCGCTGCCCTGGGGAGCGCAGACAGGGAGGGCTGCAGCTCCGGCCGCTGGCTCTGGTGCCCCGGTGTGGGGCTGTGGCAGCCCGGTGTGAGGAGCCCCGAGGAGGAAGGTGACAGGGCCCGGCCTCGGCTGGAGCGGGACCGCGGCGGGGGCCGGGCCCTGCGGCAGGCTGAGGCAGCTCTCCGGGGGCCGGAGGGCTCTGCCTGGAGGGGCCGGGCCCGGCTGGAGGGGGCGGGCGCTTCAAACCCGGCACCGGGGAGACAGGGGCAGCGAACCGACCAGGAGCCGCCGCAGTGCGCCGGCCGGGCCGGGCCGAGCCGAAATCAGCCGAACTCGCCCGAGCCGGGCCGAGCAGAGCCGAACCCGGCCGTGCTGAGCCGAGCGCAGCCGAACCCAACCCAGCCGAGCACAGCCGAACCCGCCCGAGCCGCCCACACCTGCGGTGGGCCCGCCCCAGCAGTCGGTCCCGGTCCCGGTCCCGGTCCCAGCTCCGGCCCTGGTCTCATCCGCCGCATCCTGACCTGCCGGGTCCCGCGTGTGTCCGCGGTGGTTCCCGCACCGGTGGGGCCGGGCCGGGGCCGGTGCCGTCCGGGACGCAGGGGGTGTCCCCGGCCCCGCGCCTCCCTCCCCTCCCCGGGGCTCCCCGGTCCCCCCCCCAGCCCGCAGCCTGCCCCCCTAGCGCTGACCTGCCTGAGCCGCTGCCGCGCCGCGTCCCGCCGGCCCCGCCCGGCCCCTCCCGCCCGGCTGACGCACCGGCGCCCGCCCGCGCCCGTCACCCTGGCCTTGCGGCGGCTCCGCCCGGGGAGGGCCGGGGGCGGCGGAGCCAGGACCGGCAGCATCGGACCCCTCCGGGGAGGGACCGGCACGACCCCGACCCTGTGAGGGGACACCCCCACACCACGCTTTTCTCCTGCCCCATAGCAACGTATATGTGTTGTTTTCCCCCCTTCCACCCCATCCTCCGAGCCCGGGAATTGTCCCAAATCACCCCAAAACCAGAGGAACCAGCCCTGCCGCCCGAGCGAGTCTGGTGGGACCGGGAGTGCCGGGCCTGAGCCGGAGGGTCCTCAGCGCAGCCGTCAGCACTGGGGGCGGCTGTGCTGCAGGACAGCAGTGAGGAACCCCCAGGTCCTGCCCCTGTGACCTCCTCCATCCCACCCCGGGATTGCATCTGGATTCAGGACCAGGATGTGCTGGCAGTGCCGTGGCACTCGGGTCTGCAGGGCAGCAGCGGCTTCTCCCAGACCAGGACAGGCTTGTGTGTGCTGGGCATGGCTGTGCCAGCGGGACCAGGGGCCCAACACATCCCCAGCAATGAATGAGAGCACCGGTGATTCTGGGAACACTGGGGGGTGTTCTGGTGGAGCAGAGCAGATGTGACACAAAGCCAGCCATGCCACTGTCACACTGTCACTGGCGGTGACAGCAGCGGGTGCTATGGCACAGAGCGGAGCTCGTGGTGCCACAGCCAGCTCCAGACTGGACTGTCATGCAGAGGTTTGGCAGCCATGGGGCACAGTGGAGGAGCTGGGTTTGGTGCAAGAGCTCTCTGCAGGCTGCAGCTTGCCAGGGCTCAGCAGCGCGCTCAGCCGGGATGCCCGTCGGCACAGATTGCTATCGCCGTTGTCTGGACCTGCTGCGCTGGGGCCTGGTGATGCCAAAACACCAGCTGTGTTTGTGCCGGTCGGTGCCAGGAGCTGCTGGGGCTGTCCAGAAGGTGAGGGGAGGCCTGTCCCCTTCCCAAGGGGGCTGAGGCCATGAGCACTGGAGCTGAGAGGTGGCTGTGGAGCCACTGAGCTGGTGTCGGCCCTGGTCCGGTGGAGGTGGCATTGCTGGGGGACAGGAGAGGGGACGTTGGTCCCTGAGCAGTGGCAGGGGGATGGTGGAAGGCCACTTCCATGGCACGGCCTTCCCAGAGCACGGGGAGCACATGCCAGGGCTGGTGATTCTCCAACAAACGGTATCTCCCTCCTTGGAGGGGTCATCAGTGGACACTGCTGGTAATGAAGCCCAAAGTGATGCCAAATCAGAGCCCTCCTGCCCCTGCTCAGCCCCAAAGCCCTGGTGGCCCCGGAGGACTTCACCTGGAGCCCATAGCACCAGGAACGAACACCAGCTCCAGTGCTGGTCCTGGGCCTTGGCCCCAAGCTGATTCAGGCAGAGGAAGGACCCTGGAGCAGCCAGGATGCTACTGATAAGGGTCCCCAGACCCCAAACCAAGCCACAAAGCACCAGATTTGCCACCAGCCCCATGTTTTCCCTGTCAGGATCTGCTTTTTGGGATGCTGAAGTCCAGAGTGCTTTGGCGAGCAGCTCAGCCAGCAGCCATAAACTAAACCGCTGCAAGACGAGAGGAGCAATCAGCCGTGGGGCGAAGAAGTGGGACCACCAGCCAGTGATGGAGCACAGGCCGCACACCAGCTCCGGGGCAGAGCAGCCCCAGCGCTTCCCGGGACAGAGGAGGCAGGAGCCTGCTGTGAGAAAGCTTTTATTTTAAATAACCTCAAAAAATAGAATTGCAAGGACCTGAAACGCAGCTGGAGCAGAGCGAGAGGGAAGGGGAGTGGCGAGGCTCTGGTTGTGACCTGTGTCCTGGCGTCCCCTTGGCCATGGTGGATGGCAAAGCTGCACGCTGCATCCCTTTGGATGCACCCCAAAGACATGCACAGCGCTGCACCCAGCTGGGCACTGGTGACACCCCCCCTCGCCTTGTTCTCAAGGAAGGTCTTTGCCCAGTGGCTGGAGCCGCGCACAGGGAGGCACCGGTTTCCCTCCGGCAGCAGGCAAAGCTCTTTTCCCCTTTTGGATCAGGACATCTTTTGAGCATCCTATTCCTGTTTCTGCCCCGACCACGCAGCTCCATGGCTCTGCTGCACTGAGGGGGAAGCAGAGATGCCCGATGAGCCCTGTACCTCCTGCAGCCCCCCAGCTGCTAGCAGGGAAAGGGGCAGACACCGCCACCAGTGCCAACAGCTACAGCAGCTCCAGCAAGACCACAGCCGCTGCAGCTCCCCTGGCGTGTCCATGTTACCTGTTCAGGAGTGAAGTGAGTACCAGAAAGAGGCGCAAGGCAGAACGATTACCCACAGAGCAAGCAGAGAAGCGTAAGCACCCACCACCCCCCCCTTTCCCACCCCCCGTCTTCCCCTGTGCCCCTCCGACCTCAGAGGAGAAGCTTCTCCAGGTCTCTTTCAGAAACAGAGGTGAGCTGAGATGCTTCCAGGCCATTTTCCCAGCTTTTCCCCATTTTCCTGGCTCCTCCTGCCACCCCTGGGGTAGCCCCAGGCTCGACTGTGCTGCCTATCAAGAGGAAGTCCCAGCTGAGTCCCAGTCTCCCTCTGGCCAGGCCAGTGGGTCACAGCTCTCCATCCCAAATGCATCCTTGTGGAGTGACATCCACTCTGGAAGAGGACAGAGGGTTCTGAGAGAAGCTCTTGACCCATGGAGGTCCCATGCAGGCCCCGCAGCATCTCTGGGTCCATGCATCACCCAGCATGATGGAGATGGAGGCAGGAGCAGGCAAGATGTGCCACTGCCTGGCAGAAGTGGATTTTTAAGCCGATGGATCTCAGATCCCAAGCTCTTCCCATTCACAACAGTCTCCGCAGCCACAGCAGGAGCTGGCGTCGCAGATCCAGGGTCTGTCTCTGCTCCTCAGCTCTGTTCCCCCTACAGATTTGGTACGTTCAGAAGACAGAAGCTCCCGTGGCACATCCAAGTCCTGCTTCCCGAGTCCTGCACGGGGGCCGTGGAGCCTCCTGAGCCGTCACCTCTGTGTCCTGGCAGGCACCACGAGTCCCGGCCAGCGGCTCTCCCTCGGCACTGTCCTCATTTGGCGAGCGCGAGCTGCCGCCTCTTCAGCTTCGGTGTCTTTTAGTGCAGGAGCAAGGTGATGCAGGCTCTCGCCAGAGGCGGCTCTGGGCAGCCCGCACCGGCGTTACAAGCAGCTGGGGCACGGCGAGGGCTTCTCTTCGCCGTGCGCTCTCTCAGGCACTCTCAGGACTCGTTTCTCCTCAAAGCTCCTGGCACAGCCGCCGTACTTGCACCAGAGCTCCGCTCGGCACTCGGGCTGCGGCTTGAGGAGCAGCTGCCGCTGGCTGAGGCAGTCAGCACAGCAGCACTGCGGCAGCAGGCTCGGCGGCTTTGGGCTCAAGCCCTCCCCGCTCTCGGCGCACTTACAGGGCCCCGGAGGTCCCTCCTGCGGGGTGTGGGAGCCAGGCACCAGGTGCTGCTGCTCTTCCTGCATCAGCTGCAGGAGGATGTCGGCTGCGCCCGAGGGGCTCTCGGGTCTGTTGGGGGGCTGCGCTCCCGGCCGGAGCTCATCCCGAGGCAGCGATCCATGAGCAGCTCCACGGGAGCAGGGGGGCAGCAGCAGGCTGGGGGGCTCCGAGCCTTTTCCCAGGGGAGCGCCACTGCCATCCGGCTCATCCTGGTGTGCCGGGCAGGTGCCCTTGCAGCAGGAAGGTGGGATGGCACCGGCATGCGTCCTGCGGTGCCGGAGCAGGTGAGCCTTCTGGCTGAAGCCCTTGCCGCACTCGGCGCAGCGGAACGGTCTCTCCCCGGTGTGGGTCCTCTGGTGAACAGCCAAGTTCACCTTCTGGCGGAAGCGCTTCCCACACTCGGCGCAGGCGTGGGGCCGCTCCCCAGCGTGGCCCTGGCGGTGCAGCTGCAGCTCCCCGTGCTCCTCAAAGCTCTCCCCACACAGCGAGCAGGGGAAGGGGCTGCTGGCGTGGCCCTGCGGTGCGGGGGGCTGGCCTGGCTCTCCCTGGGGCCGCTCGGCCACGTGCACCCGCTGGTGCACCCGCAGGGACAGCTTGCTCTTGAAGCGCTTGGGACACTCGAGGCAGGTGAAGGGCTGCCGGCCCGTGTGGGTCTTCTGGTGGGCGATGAGGTTGGGCTTCTGGGCAAAGCGCTTGCCACACTGGGTGCAGGCAAAGGGGCGCTCCCCGGTGTGGGTGCGGTAGTGGGTCACCAGGTTGCCTTTCTGGTTGAAGCGGCGGCCGCAGACGCCGCAGGTGAAGGGCCGCTCACCGGTGTGGATGCGCTGGTGAGTCACCAGGTTGGTCTTGAGGCTGAACCTCTTGCCGCAGACATCGCAGCGGTAGGGCCCTCTGCCGCGGTGGTTCTGCCGGTGCTTCACCAACCGCTCGTACTGGGGGAAGCTTCTGCCACACTCAGGGCACAGCCAGGCCCTCCCCTCCACCTGCTTGTCCTGGAGGGCTTTAGGGGAGAGCTCATCGCCGGAGCTCTTCTCGTGCTCAGGGCACGGGTAGCACTTCTGCCCGGTGTGGCTCTTCTGGTGAGCCACGAGGGAGAGCCAGAGGCCGAAGCTGTTGCCGCACTGGTTACAGATGAAGGGCTTCTCTGCCCCAGGGGCCGCGGTGGCCGCGGCGGTCGCCTCGCCAAGGACCGGCTGCACGCCCAGCGGCCCCAGGAGGTGAGGGCCATGGGTGAAGGCTGCTGTGCCAGCACCGGGAGCCTCAGTGGTGGGCCCGTGTTGTGGCCTGAGGAGAGCCACCTTCTGACAGAAGCCCTCCCCGCACTGGACACAGGGGAAGGCCTGCTCTCCCAGGGCAGCGTGCTGTGGTGGCAGGAGCGGCTCCTTTGGGGGAAAGCTCTTTTCTGTGCAGGAGTACAGCTCCTGGCCCTCGGGGATCTTCTGAATGGGCAGCGGCGGCACAGAGCTGAAGGGGGGCTCTTGCTCGGGTCCCCCAGGCTGCAGCAGGGTGGGTGCAGCCCCATAGGGCAGCCCGGCAGCGGGACTGCGGCCCGGGCAGCGCCGCTGGCGTGGGGCATGTGTCTTCTGGTGGGCTTTGAGGGAGACCTTGTCCTTGAAGCACTTCTGGCACTGCCCGCAGGGGAAGGGGCGGAGGTCTGTGTGGGTGCTCTGATGCGTCACCAGGTTGGTTTTCTGGGTGAAGCGCTTGCCGCACTGGGTGCAGGCGAAGGGGCGCTCCCCGGTGTGGACGCGGTAGTGGGTCACCAGGTTGGTCTTCTGGTTGAAGCTCCTGCCGCAGAGGAAGCAGGTGAAGGGCCTCTCGCCAGTGTGGATGCGTCGGTGGGTGATGAGGTTGGGCTTCTGCCGAAAGCTCTTCCCACACTCAGGGCAGACGAAGGGGGTGTCCTCCTGGTAACTCCTCCCTTGGGATCGCAGCTTTGGCTTGCCGGACCCGCCATCCTCCTGCTCACCCCCCGCTAGTGCCTTGTCCCCAGCGGCGTGGATGCGCTGGTGTGCCAGGAGGTTGGCCTTCTGGCTGAAGCTCTTGCCACACTGCGTGCAGGGGAATGGGCGCTCCCCGGTGTGCACGCGGCGGTGGGTCAGGAGGTTGGGGCGCTGGCTGAAGCTCTTCCCGCAGTCCCCGCAGCGGTAAGGCTTCTCCCCGGTGTGTATCCTCTCGTGCGTGATGAGACTTTGCTTCTGGCGGAACCCTTTCCCGCACTGGGCGCAGCGGAAGGGGCCGGCACCGAGCTGCGGCACCCAGCAGGCCACCCGGGTGGAGAGCGGGCTGAGGCTGGCGGCGCCGTCTCGCTCTGTGCCGGCGCGCTCCGGCGCGCGCTGCCCAGCGTGGAACCAGCGGCTGGAGCTGCTGGTGGTGGCCGGGTACAGCTCCAGGGCCCCAGCAGCTACCCCAGGCTTCTCCTCGGGCTGCTCGACTTTGTTCACTCGGCCGGGCTCAACTGGATGGGTTGCAAAGAGATTTGGGATGTTAACTTCAGGATGTCGTGGGATCAGAGAACATCTCATGCCGGGACTCACAAGGATCACCAAGTGTGATCCCCGGCTCCTCACAGCACTGCCCGACCTGAACCATTGTGGGTTGTACCACTCTGAAGGATCACAGCCATTCCCAGAGCCTGCTCCACCCCTACCTTGCCTATAGCGGTGCTGGCAGCGGTAGCACAGCAAGGACTTGCCGTTAAGTGGCCAGCGATAGCTGCAAACTGGCCTCCAAAGGCCATAAATGGCCTGGAATGGCCAGACGCTGGCCCAAGGTATTTGCAAACTGGTCAAAAATGGCTGCAAAATGGCCCCACGCTGGTCAAAAATGGCTACATACTGGCCCCAAGTGGCCACAAACTGGTAAAAAATGGCTGCAAACTGGCCCAAAATGGCTGCAAACTGGCCCAAAATGGCTGCAAACGGCCCCAAAATGCCAGCAAACGGCCCCAAAATGCCAGCAAACTGGCCCCAAATGGCCACAAACTGCCCCAAATGCAGGCAAACTGGCCTCAAATGGGCAGAGACTAGCCCAGAACGGTTGCAAACTGGCCCTAAATGGCTGAAAGCTGGCCTAAAATGTCTGTGCACCACCCCAAATAGCCAGATACCAGCCTCGAAAATGGCCCCAAATTGGTAAAAAATGGATGCATACTGGTCCCAAAGGGCTGCAAACCGGGCCAAAATGGCCCCAGATGGTTGCAAACTGGCCCTGAAGAGCCTCTGCCCACAAGAGGACATTCCCCCACCCACCCAGGGCCGTTTCCCTGTGGTGCCGCAGCCGGCACCGCGTCGCAGGGTGCACTCACCCGCGCAGGGGCTCACGAGGATCTTGCTGTCCTCCTGCATCTGCTGCCCTTCGGGGTACGGCTCCTCCGACTGCTTGATGCCGAACAACCCGCCAGGCTTGAAGAACCTGTAGCCTGTTTGGAGGGTAAGAGCCGGTCACCGGGAACCGTGCACACCGGTGGTCATGAAGAAGCTAAAATTAACGAGGCCGGGGGGCATCGCTTTCATCTATTTTAAGCTTCTGCTGCCTGGAGTGTAATTAAAAGATAAAAGGAAATAGCAGCACCTGGCTCCCTCCTCCTGGCAAGGCAGAGGGCGGGAAGGAGCGCCGTTCCTTGGAAGACGGCACTCACCGGGTAGCTGCAGATCCGGCATAACGCTTTTCCGATCGGATTTCAAAGGCTACCGCAAAAATGCACTTAATTCCAGGCTGGACCTCCCAAGAAGAGGCTCCATCTTGAGCAGCACAGCTCGGGGTGGGGGGGGGCAGAGCGGGTGAAGGAGCTGCCTCAGGGTGTGGATTCCTCCCAGGGGTGTCACATCTGTGCACGTTTACATACACCCCTCCTACATCCCCCCCCCACCACCACCAGGCCAAGAGGAGGAGGCAGTTGGAAGTGGGGTTCCCATAGGATAGACTGGAGAACAGCCAAGGGCACCCATAACCCTGTATTACCTGTGCAGGGGTCGGACGGGATCTCAGTGCCGACAGCATCCAGCTCATGTCCGGCTCTTGGCACCTCGCTCAGCCGGGGGTATGGCAGCAGGTTCAGGGCGTGGGGAGGCTGGTGATGGAGAGAGGAGAAGGGTTTCAGCAGGTCCCCATTGTGGGTTTGGGGCTGTTTCTTTGGGGTTTTGGCTGGTGGGATGAGGGCAAGGGCCATCCCTCTGTGCTCAACACCGGTGAGGCCACACCTCAAATCCTGCGTTCAGTTCTGGGGCCCTCAGGACAAGAGAAACACTGGGGTGCTCGAGCCAGCCCAGAAAAGGGCAACAAAGCAGGCAAAGGGTCTGGAGCACAAGGCTTGTGAGGAGCTGCTGAGGGCACTGGGGTTGTCTGGAAGAGAAGGCTCAGGGGAGACCTTATCGCTCTCTAAAAGTGCATGAAAGGAGGTTATACTGGGGTGGGGGCCAGTCTCTTCCTCCAAGTCACAAGCAATAGGACAAAAGGGAAACAGCCTCAAGCTGCACCAGGGGAGGGTTCGATTGGATACTGGGGAAATTTCCTTCACCAAAAGTGTTGTCAAGCACTGGCACAGGCTGCCCAGGGCAGCGGTGGAGTCACCACCCCTCGAGGGAGTTAAGATGTGTAGATGTGGCACTTGGGGACATGGCCTTGGCAGTGCCGGTTTAACGGTTGAACCCAGTCTTAAAAGCCTTTTCCCACTTCAAGAATTCCCTGATCAGAAGGATGGGCTTTGGGATCAGTGCCCACAAACCACCACCAGCCCCACAGTGAGGCGATGGGCACACCACGTCACTTTCAACGAAAGTCCTTGCACCCCTTGAACCTGAACGCTAATGGAGGAGGGGGGGATCCTGACTCAGCAGGATCACCCCTGAAGCGTTCTCCTGGCACTTTGGATTCACAAACCCCATCCCACAGGATCCCCTCATGGGATCAGCCAGCCCACCCGGGGTCTATGCCTGGGGAGGGAACCCCTGCACAGACCGAGCCTGGCTCTTCCTGGGAAGCTCTAAACCCAATCCACCCATCTTCACACCCCATCCCGGCATTCCTCCCCTCTTCCCTCGGAACTCCTCCAGAGCTTGGCAGGAACGAGGGGAGCAGATGGCAGGAGACGCTGCACCCGCCGCGCTCTGACGCCTGCCGTGACTTTCAGAAGCGCCAATTTAGAAGGAAATAAAACTCTTGTGGGGGGTTTGCTCGGCAACTCAGGAAGCAAAGCACCAGGAGAGCTCCCACCCCATCCCCCCAAAATGGAAGAGGAGCCGGGATCCCTCTGGCTACCCTGACTCTGCTCTGCCACGGTTGGAAGGGGCCGCGCTCCAGCAGCCATTCCACCGGGATGGCGAGGAACCCGTTCCCCCCCTCCTCCACGTACCTGGGGCGCTCCCCCCGCAGACATGGCTCCCCTCGGGGCCGCCCGGCGAGGGGAGAGGACATGAGCGCCGGGGAGGGCGCCGGGCGGCGGCCGTGCTTCCCCTCCGCCTTCCGCCACGGTCGCGGGCTCCGCTCGTCCCCGACTTCCTCCAAATGGCTGCTGCCGGGCCCTGGCAGAGCGAGAGGGAAGCGCCGGTGAGCGGGGGAGCGCCGAGAGGCGAAGCTCGGCCGCACAGGGAGAGGCCCCGCTGTGTCTGTATCCCTCCTCCTCCTCTTTTTTCCTCCTCCTCCTCCTCCCCCGAGTTATTTTAGGTGAGAGGAAGGCGCCGACCCCGGCTCTGGCCCGGATCCGTTCTGTTTACGGCGAAGCTTCCCCACCGCTGCATGCGCAGCGCTAGTGGGATTTGTAGTCCATGCCAAGAGGCCCCGGCACTGCGCGCTGGGGGACCGGGAAGTGCCCCGGTGTGGCCTCACCCTCTGCCACAGGGACCGAGGGTCTCGCTCCCGGCTCCCCAACACCCACCAGGAGAGAGCCCCGACAAACGCCTCCAGCTCCGGTCTCACGCCTCACCCCTCTTCTCTAGAGGTGCCCAGCCCACTCAAGCACCCTGGGACAGCACATAGAGGATGGGGCTAGCGGGAGAGCCCCTGTATCCCACATCACCCCTCCACTGCCAACCTCCTTGTTCGTAGAACACGGGTTGGGATCTGGCTGGTGAGAGGGGATGGGCTATGTGGGAGCTGGGAGGATCCCAACCCTCCCTGGAAGCACCGGGATTCTCTGGTGCAGGCACCCGTTGTGGCAACATGGTTCCAGGCATTGTTACCCCCAGCATTAGGTGCCACCATGGTGAGTGCAATGGAGCTGCATCACTCCCCACAGCCATCACCAGCCCTGGCACAGCCAAGGGGCATTGGGAATGCTGTGTGGGGTGGGGGATTCCTGAGGCTGTCAGAGGGCAGGCAGGGCCTCAAGCCCATGCCTGCCCATGGCACCATCCCACTGCCGTAGCCACTGCTCCAGAGGGGAGAACCGGCTCTCAGGAGCATGGGTGGAGGACTCGGACCCAAAACAGAGGGAGAGGTGCCAATGTCCCGTCCTATGACACCTTGAGAAGGGGTGGGAGCAGGGGGTGGTGCTGCCCCTTGATGTGACAGGTCTCCAGCGGTGGCAGAAGCTGGCCATGGAGCCAGACCCAGTGTGACACCCGCAGCCTCGGCCCCCCACCCCACCGGTGTTCCCATCCCAATCCCGTCTTTCACCCCAGGAAGCAGCGGTGCTTTCCCGCCTCAGGCGAGGCTATGGACATGGCAATGGCGAGGGCACCCCGGGGGGTACCAACACTTCCCGGGGGGGGACAGCACCCTCCGGTTTACCGGGATCGAACGGCCCTGGTGCCCCGCGGCCCCCACCTCCGGTACTCTAACACCGCCTCCCAGGCCCCCTCCGACCCCGGCCCCGGCCCCGGCCCCGCTCCGTGCCAGGCCGAGCGTTGCCATGGCGACACCGCCCTCCGCCCCCCCCCCCGCCAGGTCCCGGAGCCGCCTCCCCGGGGAAACTCACGGGCGGGCGATGTCCCGCGACACGATGACGTCGTCGCGGCGGTGACGTCACCACGCACGGCGGCAGAGCGGGGGGAAGGAGGCAGGAAAAGGAGGAGGAAAAAGAGGTGGAAAAGGGGCGGTGCCCGCCGATGCGCGACAGCACTTCCGGGTCGGCTTCTCTAGCGCTGCCGGCAGCGCCCTCTGCCGGCACCAGCAGAAACCGCTCTTTCTCCCCCCCTCTCCGCTCCGGTACCGGCAGCGGCTGCACCTCCGGGGGGCTGACAGCAGCGAGAGGCCCGACCCCGGTCGGTGCGGCGTCCCGGCCACCGCCAGCACCCAGCCCTGCTCCTGTATAAAGCGCTAAGATACTGTTTTTGCAGTCGGCCATTAAACGAGCGTTAACTGTCGGGAGCACGGTAACAAGATGGCGGTTAAGGCGGGAAGCTCTGCCAGGAGCTGGGGCAGCGGTTACACCTCATAACAAGTCCAGCAACGAGCAGCCACCACAGCATAAAGCACATACGGGGACGGGGGGTCTCGAGCTGGAGTAGTGGGAGATGCGGCCAGGGGCGGGACTTCACGTGGAACGTGCAGGTGCCCCGGATAGGCTTGAGCCTCCGAGTGCCCAACCAGTGGGAAACAAGGGAGGGACTTGGAGGAATAAAGGGAAGAAGTTTGTAGCCGTCGGGTGTGTTTACTCACGGGGACACCCGGTTGTGCTAGTAGGTTTGGGAAATCACTGCAAGCAGTGTGCCTGACCTCAGGGTTTCCAAACGTGTTTTGGGTTCCAACAGATGGGGCTTGTCCGTGGTGAAGGCGGTGTCGAGGGCACCTCCGCTGCCAAAGGACGGGCAGGCGCATCCCGTTGATGCCAGTGGCCTCGTGCGGCGCCGACGCCAGTTCCGCAGACGCTGACCTGAGACCGTTTGTATGAGGTGAACCCAGTGAACCAGAGGGGGAAAAGAGAAGGAAAACGTAGTTTTTCCTTCTATCAGCGACCAGGCAACTCCGTGTGCAGACCCAAGGTAAGAAAATGGGGTGTTAAAGTGTTACCTTGGTGGTCTGGGCACTCTGAGAGGCTTGAGTGATTGTGTTTGAGATGTGCAAATAAGTGTGAAGCGAGTGTGGAGTCTGGATACACGTTTCTGTTATTCCTCAAGGGATACAGCCGGAGAAGGCCAGAGCGTAAGGACCTGTTGAAAGGAAGTCTTGGGAAATAGAATGGAGAGTTACAGTAGTAGGCCTAAGGAAAAGAGGGAATGAAAAGAATCATCCTGGGAATAACATTCCTCCAGATAGTCCCTTAGGGAGAATGTTAAAACCTTGGAAAGTGAAGTCCTCTACAAGAGGGAAGGGTAAGAAAAAGATGATACAGTATTGTTGTTTTGTTTGGACAGGAGAGAGTATTGAACCACTGCCGGTTGTCTGGCCAAAATATGGAGCAGATGAAGGTTGGGTGCATCAGACTTTAAATCTGCCCATAAATAGTAAGAAACCCTTTTCGCAGGAATTATTATGCAGCATGCTGAATAGGAACCCCTGCAACTTGGTTACTTCCTTTGAAAAGAGAGTGAAAAACCCGAAGAAGATCCTGGGAAGTCCAAAGCCAGGGATCCATTGAAATGTTTGCCTCTTTCCCCAGTTATCCCTAGTCCACCTCCAGAAAACCCTGATGAAACTGGCTTTATTCAGTCCTCTCTCCCATGAGGATGATCAGTTAACTCATCAGGGGGCTACAGCCAGTGCCCTGCCTCAGGCTGAATATTCTAACTTAGCTACAGAACTGGACCAATGTAAGGAATATCTCCTAGACTTTCCTATGCCCACTTGAAAGGAACAGCCGGAGAAAGGGGGGATTACCGAGAACTTCTGTCTCCCGCGGGAGGTTCTGCTGAGTGCAGGACAAGTAGGGGGTGTGAGTGCCCCACTCACCAGCACTGAAGTTAGAAATGTTTAAAAAAGAAATGAGACCTTTAATCGAAGGCCCTATAGGGTTAGCAGAGCAATTAGATCAGGTTTGGGGACCCAGCTTTTATTCTTGGGAAGAAATGGTGTCTATAATGGATATCTTATTTATGGGAGAGGAAAGGGGAATGATTAGAAGGGCAGCCATGACGGAGTGGGAAAGAAGGCACCGCCTGGGCAAGGAGTTATGCCAGCAGAACACAAGTTTCCCAATGTGGACCCAAATTGGAATAATAATAACCCAGCCCACCAGGCTAATATGAGAGATTTAAGAGACTTAATAATCCAGAGAATAAAAGAATAAAAAGAGTTGGTCCCAAAATCTCAGAATTTTGCAAAGGCTTTTGAAACAGAACAAGAAAAAGATGAAACTCCCCAGTGTTCTTGCGGTGATTGAGGGATAAAATAAGGAAGTCTTCAGAAATGAATCCTGAAGACGCTATAGCCCAGGGTCTACTGAAAGTCCATTTTGACTTGGCCAAACGTCAGAAAAATAGGCGGGTAAAGTGAAAGACCCTTAGAGGAATTACTAAGGGAAGAATTACTAAGGGGAGGCCCAAAAAGTTTTTGTAAAGCAAGAGGAGGAGAAACAAAAGCATAAAGCAAAAATGATGATGTCCGCAGTGAATCCAGTAGTGGAAAAACGAATTAGAACCAATGGTTCAAAGGGGTTGAGGAACATGGACAAGGAGAAGGGGAAGAGGTATGAGGGGTGTAATGCTTCCTCCTCTTAGTAGGGGACAGGGAAGACTTTGCAGTCACCACAGGTTGTCCAGCCATCAGCATGTTGCTTCCTGTGTGGGAAAAGTGGACACTTAAAATGTGAATGTCCCAGTCTTGAGAAGGAGGAGCAGGTAATTCTGTTGATGACCTTTGAAGATACTGAATGGGGGAGTCAGGGGCTTCTTGAAGTCCCACCAAGAACCCTTGGTAAATTTGAAAGTGGGACTTCCCTCAGGATGAGGAAGTGGGGTTTTCTTAGTTGATATAGGAGCTGCTCAAACCTCATTAAACTCAATACCCCAAGGACTGAAACTATCTGATCAAAACCTGATAGTCTCAGGAGTAAAAGGAGAAGGATTCCCAGTCCCCGTGTTTGAAAACACCATGTTAAAATTAGGAAATGAAACAACTAAAGGGAAATCTTTATATATTTCTGAGGCATGGAATGTATTAGGAAGAGATTAGGTTGTACAATTAGGATTATGTTTATGGTCCTATTAACAGAAAAAGGTGAAAAGGAAATAGATCCAGTAGTTTGGGTGAAAGAAAGAAATAGGGGAAGACTGGACATACCCCCTTTAAAAATCAAGTTGAAAAGGGAAGGTGACGTGGTAAACCAAAAGCAATATCCTATCCCACTGGAAGGACGCAAAGGGCTTCAGGCGGTCATAGAAGCTTTGATCAAAGATGGGCTGTTGAAACCCTGTGTGTCCCCTTTTTACCTGTAAGAAAATATGACAGGTCACATCGTTTGGTCCAGGATTTGAGAAAACTGAACCAAATAGTCCAAGTCTGGCATCCAGTGGTCCCCAATCCTTATACCTTAATGAGCAATATATCACATGAACATGAATGGTTCAGTGCTGTGGATCTGAAGGATACCTTTTTGGCATGTCCGTTGGATCCAGAAAGCCGAGACGTGTTTGCATTGGAATGGGAGGACCCCTACATGGGGCATAAACAGCAGTTTAGATGGATGGTGTTGCCACAGGGATTTACAGAGTCACCAAATGTATTTGTGCAGGTGTTAGAACGAGTATTAGAAAAATTAAAACCACCCCCACGCGTCACCCTGTTGCAATATGTGGATGATTTGTCCATTTCAGGGAAAAAGAAAGAGGCAGTAACAGAAGAAACGCATTACTAAACTTCCTGGGAGAACAAGACCTAAGATTATCGAAGAACAGATTGCTGTATGTAGAAAAAGAGGTCAAATACTGTCCTGGTTTCAGCTGTAATAGTTACTATTCTTCTTAGTAGCTGGTGCAGTGCTGTGTTCTGGCTTCAGTCTGAGAACAATGCTGATAACACACCGATGTTTTAGTTGTTGCTGGGTAACGCTTACTTCGGTCAAGGACTTTTCAGTCTCTCACGCTCTTGTCAGTGAGGAGGGGCACAAGAAGCCAGGAGGGAGCAGAGACAGGACACCTGACCCAAACTAACCAAAGGGGTATTCCATACCACAGCACGTCATGGCCAGTGTATAAACTGGGGAGAGTTACATGGAAGGGACAGTCGCTGCTCAGGTCAGGCTGGGTATTGGTCAGCAGGAGGTGAGCAATAGCATTGTGCATCACTGCTGTTTATTGGGTTCTTTTCCTTCTCCCCTTTTAGTTTTGTATTCTCTCCCACTGTTATTTCCCTTACCATTATTATTATTGGTGGCAGCAGCAGTGGTTTGTGTTATACCTTAGTTACTGGACTGCTCTTATCTCAACCCGTGGGATTCACATTCTTTCAGCTCTCCTCCCCATCCTGCCAGGAGTCAGTGGGGGGAGGAAGGGGAGGAGTGAGAGAACGGTTGTCTCTGAGTTACTGGGCTGGGTTTAAACCATGACAAAGACCTGGAACACTTGATCAGTGAAAGAAAGCGAAATATAAACCTAGAGATAATAAAAACAATAGTTGAATTACCTCTCCCAAGGACTAAAAAGGAGCTGAGAAAGTTCCTAGGGCTGACAGGGTCCTGTCACCTGTGAACTGAGTCATATGCACTAAAGACAAAGGGGTTGTACTTAAAATTATTAGAAGAACCACCTGATTTTTTAGAAGAAGAACTAGTGCAAAAGCTAAAACAAAGTTTGATAACTGCTCCCGTGTTAGCTTTACTGTCCCTAGACAAACCCTTTCATTTATGTGCCACACGGGAATGGCTCTGGGAGCCATGGGCTTGGAACTGGAAGACAAACGACAGCCCGTGTTCTACCTTTCTAAATTATTTGATCAGGTCTCCCGAGGATGGCAGAGTGTGTACAAGCAGTTGCAGCTACTGCCATTTTGGTAGAGAAAAGTAAAAAGCTAACCTTTGGAGGAGCACCTGTGGTAAGCACTCCACATCAAGGAAAAATCTTAACCGAGAAGCAGGGAGCTGGCTTACTGATTCCAGGATCCCGAAATACGAAGCTGTATTAATGGAAAAAGATGATCTGGTCTTAACTGCTGGTTTGTGTCTCAGTCCAGCCACCTTTGTGTGGAAAGGGGAAGCAGATGGTCAGAATCTTGAACACAGTTGCCTTGACATAGTAGAGTACCAAGCACAGGTACATCCTGATCTAAGAGATATACCATTAAATGCTGGCCTCCACCTAGTCATTGGTGGCTCCTCCACTGTCATACAGGGGAAAAGGCACAATGGTTATGCAGCTGCTGATGGGAACGATCACAGTATAAGGGAAGCAGGGTGACTACCAAATACTCGGTCCACCTGAACATGTGAATTAAATGCCCTGAACCAGGTTTTACAAATATTAGAAGGAAGTGAAGGAACTATCTGTACAGACTCCAAAAACGCCTTTGGAGCCATGTAAAATGTTATTTGGTCTACTATATGTGGGTAAAGTAGGTGAGACCCTGCAGTTTGAAACTAAAGATATCTTCCTAAAGAATTAAATACTGGAGCTGTATTCTTCCTTGTATTTTCTCAGAAACAAAGGACTCCACGCTGAAACGCCACCCTTGGAATTCACAGTTCATACCATTCAACCAGGGGACCGCATACTGATCAAGTCATGGAAGGACTTTAAATTACAGCCTGTGTGGGACGGCCTGTTTCATATACTGTTCACCACTGAAGCTGCTGTGAGGACTGCCAGAAAAGGTTGGACACACTACACAAGGATAAAAGGACCAGTGGAACTCCCATCTGAAGACTGGCAGTAGCACGTACAATCAACTGGGAACCCCCTCTGTGTTAAGATAAAGAGACAATAAGCATACACTCCTGCTTCCAAACATTTGTAAGAACCTTTATAAGATTATCTTGTATTTGCTGTGCTGAAAACATAGGTTTTGGGGATAAAAGGGAGGAGACTGACTAGCAGAAAAAAAATGTGGAAGATCATAGTGATAATGACCTTTTGTCTATTAGGAGTTCAAGGAAAAAGTTTGGAACAAGAAGCCTATGTTGAGCAAATGAGAGAATTGCTGGGATACCCAGTCAAATTGCAGATAAATATTACTAAGGCACAGAATCCACAAACTATCCAATTTGACGCCTGTCAAGTGCTCAAGTGTGGAGATCTAAAAGAGCAAAGGAAATTAAGCAGTCACGATAAATACTTATGCCCAGAGTATTATCTGCAGCCATACTGGGGACCACCTTGTCCCGGGTGGAGTGATGTTTGGTTTACCACTGCCTTTAATGGCTGGGTCTCACCCAACGCTCGGGGAAAGTCTCTCAAAAGTAAAATTGCGATGTTTAAAGGTCACATAGACCCTGACTGTAAGGATTTAGAATGCAATCCCATAATACTTACCATTACAAATGCTGATGGGGAAGTAAGCCAAACTTACGGCCTAGGGGCAGATGTGCCAGGAAAAGATCCACTTGCTAGACTTCAAATTGTAGTTTGGGAGCCAAAGAGAAATGAACATACCCAAACTACAGACACTACCATTCCTCCACCAAATAATCCTAAGGTAGAAAAGGGGAAAGACTTGAAGCGGACATCTGAAACAGGAACAGGATATGGAGATACAAATACCAGGGGAGAACTGGTCAAATACAGAGTGAAAAGCTTAAACAGAAGCAATTGCGATGCATGTGCTTCAGGGCGACCTACAGCACAGGTAGTCCCTTTTCCTTTAGGATGGAGTAAAGATGCACAAGGAATGAGGTGTATGATCGCATTGTACCAGGAAAGGACAGCATGGGGAAACGAAGCCTGCAAGTCCCTTTCACTGCTGTTCCCTGCACTACGGAAGAAGGATATCAAGGTACCCCCCACCTTCTCCTCTGCAGCTGGTAACCATACAGCTTGTCTCTCACGGCAGGGTGCGAGTGCTACCAAAGATCTTGGACAGCTGGAGATGTGCACGGAATTGCTAAATGTGGCTGAGGAGGAAACAGGTAATTACTCAGCTCTGAGTATCCCCAGAGCGGACCTCTGGTGGTATTGTGGAGGGAGAGTCTTGAGACCTACGCTTCCTCCAAATTGGAAGGGCACGTGTGCGATTGTCCAGTTGGCCATTCCGTTTACCTTGGCATTCGAAAAGGGAACAGCACCTTAGAATTCATGCAAAAAGCAAATATTCAAACAAAAGGAATTGTGAAAAGTATTAAGATACTGGTTTTGCAGTCAACCATTAACTGAACGTAACTGTCAGAATACACTGGCAAGGCAGGAAGCTCTGTCAGGGACTGGGTTAGTGGTTACAGCTCATAGTAAGGTCAGCAATGTGCAGAAACCATAACATAACAGGGGGTCAGCAAGTAAGGGGAGTGGGCTCTCAGACCGGAGTAGTGGGAGATGCAAAGAGGGGCAGGGGCTTCATACGGGATGTCGGATAGGCTGTGCACCTTGGAGTACCCAACCAGTGGGAAACAAGGGAGGGACTTCGCGGTCGGGCATAGGGAATAAAGGGAAGAACTGTGTAGTCATTGGGTGTGTTTACTCACTAGGACACCCGTTTTCACAAAAGCATTTCAATAAATCACTGCTTCACTGCTGTGGCTGACCTGAGTGTTCACAGGAAAAGTGTTCAAGGTTCTAACACTCCAGGGTGGAGATCTCAGCCCCACCGTGGTGCCCCAGCTGGAAGTGGGGCGTTGGTCTCAGCCAGCCTCACCCCCCCTACGCCTTGAGGCTGATGTGCCGGGCCCTCCTCTCCCTCCAGGCCCATTGTGTGGCCCTGGAGGTACCCCATGGAGAAGGGGGTGACCCATGGTCAGAACCCCGAGGCTCTGTTCCGACACCCCCAATCACCCTGCCCCACAGTGGGGCAGAGCCTTTGGGGGTCCCCTCCTGTCACAGCCACGTTCGGCTGCCAGGCCTGAGCAGCTTTCCTGCCCCAGACTGGAGATCTGCTTCCCTGCTCCGGCTCCTTGGCAGCGCTTCCCCCGGGACATGAGGCTGGGGTGACCTGGTGTCCCCCCCCCCGGTGTGCCGCGGTAGCTGTGGCCAACCCCTCCTACCGTGGCTGTGCCAGAGGGGCCGTGCCGAGGGTGGGTTTGGGGAGGGGGGGGGGCACACCCGCTGCGCAAGCGGGGCCGGCCCTGGGGCGGAAAAGAGGGCAGATCCCAGGAAATCGGTTAATGAAAGACCAACACTGTCAGCGGGTCGATCGCTGCGGTTTCCCAGGGTCAGGCAGGCCCCTGCCACAGGGATGAGGCTCCCGTTAGCCCTCTGCCTGGGCCTGGTGGCCCTGGCTGCCGCCAGCCAGTCCCCGCTGCAGCGGCGGGTGGTGAAGGAGGTGCTGGACTATTTCCACGGGCGCAGCAGCGTGCATTTCCTCTTCAAGGAGCAGGCGGTGGAAGGGGCCGTCGAGCGGGTGAGCGCTGCGGATGCAGAGGCAGCTGAGCCCCCGGCCCCGTGTCACCGGGGGTGGTGGGGAGGGGGTCGGGGTGACAGTGTCCTGGAGGAGGGCCAGGGAGCAGCCCCACGGGCACGGATGGTCGTAGGGGGTCAGAGCTCAGCTACTCATTAACCATTGGTGCCTGGAGCACCGACACTGGGCCTTGATTGTAATCAGTGAGGGCTGTGGGCTCTGGGACCCCGAGTTCGGGCCACCTTATGGGATGCCAGCAAGCTGGATGTCCCCTTGGGGTTGGGGTCCCCCCAATGTGCCCCTGGCACAGGGTTGGCATGGCACTGCGGGTATGGCACTGACAGCCCCGTGTCGGCCGCTCCATCCCCCTGCTGCGGCTGACCTGCTGTCCCATATCCCTGCAGGAAGACTCCTCGGGAACCTATGTCCAGCTGCGGGTCAACCTGGTGCAGACGGCCTGCAGCAAGCGGGCGCCGCGCCGGCAGAACTGCAGGGTCCTGGAGAACCGGGTGAGTTGGAGCTGGCAGCGGGCACATCCTGCAGGGACACAGCACCTCCATCTGCCCCTGCTCCCCCCGGGAGGGCTGGGGGGGACAGCGGCTCCAGCCATGTCATGGTGAGTAGCACCCAGGCTGGCTGGATCCCAGGCACAGCTACAGGCTGGGGGAGACTGGATGGAGAGCAGCCCTGCAGAGGATTTGGGGGTGCTGGGCGATGAGAAAATGAACATGAGCCTGCTTCAGTGTGCGCTCGCAGCCCAGAAAGCCAACCGTATCCTGGGCTGCATCAAAAGCAGTGTGACCAGCAGGTCGAAGGAGGTGATCCTGCCCCTCTACTCTGCTCTCGTGAGACCTCACCTGGAGTACTGTGTGCAGTTCTGGTGTCCTCAACATAAAAAGGACATGGAACTGTTGGAACAAGTCCAGAGGAGGGCCACGAGGATGATCAGGGGACTGGAGCACCTCCCGTATGAAGATCAGCTGAGAAAGTTGGGGCTGTTCAGCCTGGAGAAGAGAAGGCTGCGTGGAGACCTCATAGCAGCCTTCCAGTATCTGAAGGGGGCCTATAGGGATGCTGGGGATGGACTCTTCATTAGGGACTGTAGTGATAGGACAAGGGGTAACGGGTTAAAGCTTAAACAGGGGAAGTTTAGATTGGATATAAGGAGGAAATTCTTTCCTGTGAGGGTGGAGAGGCACTGGAACAGGCTGCCCAAAGACATGGCAAAGGCTCCATCCCTGGCAGTGCTCAAGGCCAGGTTGGACGAGGCATTGAGCCACCTGCTCTGGTGGAACTGGATGATCTTAAGGACCTTTCTAACCCAAACCATTCTAAGATGCTGTTGTGTTGCTATGACATGACCATGCCATGCTCTCCCCTCAGAGGAAGCCAACCTGCCTGGCTTGCTACAAGTTTGACAGCAGCGATGTCTCCAAGGTGCTGGACAAGTACCACAACTGCGGCCCCAGCCATCACCTGGCAGTGAAGGTGAGCTGCCCCCGGGCACGGGCACCAGCACCAGCACCAGCACCGGGCAGTGCTGCGGTGGGTGCCAGCACTGTTCTCTGCTCTGCAGGAGATCAAGCACCGGGATGAGGCTGAGTGCCGGGCAGTGGAGGAGGCCGGTAGGGGCGGGGATGCGCTGTACCTGCCCGGGATGTATGCCTTCTCCAAGGGGCTGCCGGCCTAGGCCCCGGCCCCTCACGGTAGGTGCCACCCGCAGCCCCCCAGCATCCCCAATGGGATGGAGGGGGCTCCTCTGCCAAGATCAGAGCCAGAGTGGGACCCCCAACCAGGGGGCATCTCCCAGGGCTGCACCTCCAGGGCGAGCTGGCCCTGGGGACATGATGTGGGTGACAGGGTGACGGGGGGTGAGGGGTCCTGCTCGCAACCAGCCCTGCCTCCATGTCCCCCTCCAGGCCGCCGCCACCCTGAGGACACGGATGCCGCCCTGGGGTCCCCCTGCTTGCTGCCCCCCCAGCACTGCGTGACCGCAGGACACCCCTTGCCCACCACAACTCAGCAGTAAACCCGGCTCTGGCTCCTGCTGTTGATGCTGTTATTCCCATCGGGGGACTGGGGGGGGCTCGGCTGGGGGGCTCCAGGTGCATCACCTCCCACCCGCTGTCCCCAGTGGGGATGAGGGGTGAGGAACAAGTTCCCCCTGGCTGCTCAGTGCCCAGGACGACACAGCACAGAGGGACCTGGGAGGACATATGTGAGGACAGCATGGCTTTACTGCATGGCCCCATGACGGCCCCCAGGCATCGTGACGATTATGTGACATCTCCATGGCCCTGTGATGTCCCCCAGTCCCACAATATTCTCTGGTCCCTGTGACGTCCCCACAATGTGCCATGGACACCACAACATCCCCCAGTCCCCACAATGTCCCCATGACATCCTCTGGTCCCCACGATGTCCCATTGACATTCCCTGGTCCCCACAATGTCCTCATGACATTCCCAGACCATCTCCTCGTCCCTGTGTGTCACCTCCCAGCCCTACAGCCTGGATAGCCCAAGGCTGGCCCCAGGTCTCCAAGGACATCGCTGCTCCCCTCACTGCTCCACCAGGCACAGGGAGCCCTGGTCAGCCCCCAGCCCGGAGCCCCAGTGATGGAGTAAAGCCAAGCGGCCCCATGGCTGCCTCTGGTGCTGCCCCAGCTGCCCATTCCCTGAGCTCCTCTCTCGGCTCCGGGCACGGCGTGGCTCAGAAGACAAAGGAGCTGGGGTCATGGCGGGTGCTGAGCGCCCGCTCCGCCTGGGCGATGGTGTCGTCGGCGCGGCGGCCCAGCTCCCGGCACTCCCGCAGCACCTCCCCGAACTGCCTGTACGCCTCCTCCATGATGGAGCTGCGCCGCGGCGGCCGCGGCTCCCAGAACCCGGCCTCTACCCAGGGCTGAGCCGCGCGGGGCGGGTCAGCACCGGCACCGCCACCGGCACTGTGTCCCAGCGAGCTGTCGAGATCCCGGCAGAGCTGGTAGAGCTCGCTGCCGCGGCCGGCCACCCGCTCGCCGTCAATGGCCTTGAGGCTGGGCAGCATGTCGGCCAGCGCGTCGCGGTAGGCGGCCCCGGAGCAGAGCGGGTTGTCGAGGCGGGCAAGGGGGTCACGCAGGCGCAGGCTCTCGAGGCGCCGCAGCCCCGCCAGGCACCGCAGCGCCCGCAGGCTGCTCACCAGGTTGCCGGCCAGGTTGAGGCTCTGCAGGCTGCGGCAGGAGGCGAGCGGCTCCAGGCTGGACACGCGGTTGCGGGACAGGTTGAGGACGGCGAGGGAGCGGAGGGCAGCCAGCGGCCCCAGTTGGGTGATGGTGTTACCGGACAGGTCCAGCCACTCCAGGTTGGTGCAGTCGCCCAGGCAGCCCAAGTGCGCGATGCCGCGGCCCCGCAGCCGCAACAGCAGGATGGACTCCAGGGCAAACTCGCCGGTGGCGGCCTTCAGCAGCTGGGGAGTGATCCGCACCCCTTCCTCCTCGTCCTCTTCCTCCTCCTCCTCCTCCTTGGCAGCCGCTTCGCTGTGACCCTCCATCCCAGCGGGGGACCCTGGATCTGTCAGCTTCACAGGGGGGAAAAAGGAGGAGATGGGTGATGGGGGAGGCAGCCCTGCACACCCCGAGACCTCCAGTTGTGGGGCTGGAGCCTGGGGGTAAAAATGGGGCAGGGGGGCTGGCGCCCATTGGGTTGCTCTGGGGTGCATGGACATGTGTGAGGTACCTGTCGGTACAAGTGGGCCATGCTATGGGGTATCTCATGGGTGCAGGGAGATGCGGACCCATGGGGTATCCTGGAGGGTGAGGGGATGTGTGTGGCACACAGTGGTGTATCCCAGGGGTGCAAGAACGTGGGGACATGTGGGATGCCCTGAGGGGTACGGGGATATATGCGGTACGTGATGGAGTATACAGTGGTGCAAGGGCAGAGGGAGGTATGGGGCTCCCCCAGCGCATGAGGCCACGTAGGGGGGGCAACATGGGGTGCCCCAGACATGGGGCAAATCACAAGGTGCCCTGGTGGCACGCACTGGGCAAACCGTGGGGTGCTGGGACACACGTGGGGCATCCTGGGGGTGCAGGACAAGTGTGGGGCACACCATGGGATGGGTATTTTGGAGGTGCAGGGACACGCGTGGGGTCCAGAGCCCATGGGGGGGTGAGGGATACGTGTACACGAGTGGGGCAGATCCATGGGGGGCCTCGGGGGATGCCGGACACGCGTGGGGGGCCCCTAGACCCAACCCCCCCCCCCACCCCGGGTGTCCCCTGCTCCCCTCCGGCCCCGTTCCCCCGCTGCCCCCGTTCACCCCCTCCCCAGCTCACCGCACAGCGGCTCCCGGCAGCCCCCGCGGACCCGCCCCCCGTTGCCATGGAGACGAGCGGCTGCACCGCCCCCCGCCGTGACCGCATCCGTCCCCTCCTCCCGCCCCCCCCCGAACCGGGGCCCCGCGCACAGGGATGGGATGGGATGGGACGGGATGGGATGGGACGGGATGGGATGGGATCCACCCGCGGCTCCCGCTGGCCCTAGCGCCCCCCCACCCCGATACCGACCCTGGCTCGTTCGAGCAGATCCGGTTTATTGGGTGGTACCCCCCCGGCTCGCCGGTTCAGAGCCGCTGCGCAACGCTGCCCGTGGCAATTGGGAACGGCACCGGGGCCAACCGGCACCGGAGGATGCGGCCTGGCTGGGGCTGTGGGTAGGAGCTGGCAGTGAGCCCCACTGTGGGGGTCACCGGCCTGAACCAGTACTGAGAATGCATCTCTGGGAGCTGCCAGGATCCCTGGAATGTCCCAGCGTATTCCAGTGCTTGGCCTGCAGAATTCCCCAACACACCTCCATTCTACACACCGCAGTGCTCAGTCCCCAGGGACCCCAACGTCCTGGCATGTCCCAGCATGTCCAGACACTCGGCTCACAGCACATCCTAGTGCTCAGCCTTTGGGAACCATGGCACACCCCAGCATATGACCAGTGCTTAGCCCCCCGAGTCCCCGGCATGTCCTGGCACTTGGCCTTCTGCACATCCAGCACATCCTAGTGCTCGGCTCCCAGTGATCCCGGCACATCTCACCGTGTCCCAGCACACAGCCCCCAGGGTCCCCAGCACATCCTGCTGCTCACACCCCAGCATCCCCACCCCAGCACTGGTCCTCCAGAGCTCACGGGCAGATCGCGGTGGGTGCCGGCGCGGCGGGTGCCGTCCAGCCCTGCTGTGGCACGCTGTGGGCAGCGGCGGTGCTGGCAGTGGCGTGCGTGCGCTCGTGGCGCAGGAGGTGGGTCTTGCGGCTGAAGCTCTTGCCGCAGTGGGTACAGATGTAGGGCCGGTGCCCGGTGTGCACTGCCTGGTGCCGCACCAGGTTGGTCTTGGAGCTGAAGCGCTTGCCACACTGCGCACAGGCGTGGGGCCGGGTGCCAGTGTGCACCGCCTGGTGCCGTGCCAAGTGCGACTTGCGCCCGAAGCCGCGGCCGCACAGCTCGCAGGCGAAGGGCCGGGCACCGGCGTGCACCTTGGCGTGTGCCACGAGGTTGGTCCGGGAGCCAAAGCGCCGGCCACACTGCGGGCAGGCGAAGGGCCGCTCGCCCGTGTGCACCCGCAGGTGCCGCAGGAGGTGCTGGCGCAGGGCGAAGGCGCGGGCGCACTGTGGGCAGGTGAAGGGCCGCTCGCCGGCATGGGCCAGCTGGTGCGTGGCCAGGTTGGGCTTGTGGCTGAAGGTCTTCTCGCAGTGCGGGCAGGCAAAGGGCTTCAGCCCCATGTGCCCCCGCAGGTGTGCCGTCAGGTGCCGCTTGTCGCCAAAGCCGCGGCCGCACTCGGCGCAGGCGAAGGGCCGGTCCTCACGGTGCAGGCGGCGGTGCGACGCCAGGTTCTTCTTCCAGCTGAAGCTCTTCCCGCACTCGGGGCAGGGGAAAGGCTTCTGCTCAACCGGCACCCCCTCACCGTCCGCTGCCTCCACCGGCTCGTCGTGCAGGCGCTGGTGCCGCAGGAGGTGCTGCTTGTGCGCGAAGCAGCGGCCGCAGTGGGCGCAGGGGAAGGGCCGCTCGCCCGTGTGCGTGCGGTGGTGCCGCACCAGGTGGGTCTTCTTGCGGAAGCGGCGGCCGCATTCGGGGCAGGGGAAGGGCCGCTCGCCCGTGTGCGTCTTCTGGTGCGAGCGCAGGTGGATCTTCTGCCGGAACCGGCGCCCGCACTGCCCGCAGGGGTAGGGCCGCTCGCCCGTGTGCACCCGCAGGTGCCGCGTCAGGTGAGCCTTCTTGCCGAAGCCCTTCCCGCACTGCGCACAGGCAAAGGGCCGCTCTGGGGCCGGCGCCCCGCAGCACCCACCGGGCTGGGGATCGCCATCGTTGCCATCACCGCCGCCCACCGGCAGCCCTGGGCTCAGCTGTGCCTGGCAGCAGCGCTCACAGCCGCCAGCGCCGGCCGGGCTCTGGCCCAGCAGCGGCCATGGTGGCAGGGTGAAGGTGGGCAGCGTGCCGTAGCCCAGCTCCTCCGGGAGCAGCGGCTCTGGTTTGCAGGCGCAGGCACTGGCGCAGTCCAGTGTGCCCGCGGTGTGGGGGAAGGCACCATCCGGAGCCTGCCCCGCCAGCAGGGTCTCGGTGCCGGCGCCAGCTGACCACTCTTCATCCTCCTCCTCCACCTTCACCTTCCTCACCAGCCAGTCCTCTGCGGGGCACAGACAGCCGGGTGCTGGGACACAGTGCTGAGGATGGGTGGCTCCAGCACACGGGGACCAAGCCGGCATCCCCGCGCTGCCACAGTGTGCCCAGCAGTGCCAGGGCTGTGCCAGGCCACCCGGTGGTGGGTTTGCTGTGTGCTGGTGCTGCCAGCCTGTGCCCTCACCTGAGCAGCTGAGCTCCAGGCCCCCCAGCTCTGCGCTGTCACCCCCAGCCATCTCCTCGGCCTTGGGGACCACCAGCTGCGCTGTGGAGACAATAGGCGCGAAGCCACAGGGTCCCCCACCGGCTCCATCATGGCCCTTGGGGACCCTGGAGCCCCATGGGGTGCGGCGATGGGCAGGGAAGGGGCAGGACCCACCTGCACTGCCACAGGCTGGCACCTCCATCTTCTCTGCCTGCTCCAGCACCGGCTCTGGCTCCGGCTTAGCCATGAGGGACCCTGTGGGATGGGATGGGCTGAGCCCCCCCCCCCGAGCCTCCCCCAGAACAGCAGTGGGGAACAGGCACCGCTGCCTCCGTCCCACCCGCGGGGTCTCATTTGGTGTCAGTGATGGATGGGGAGGCACGGGGTCCCCCCAGCCCTGATCCCCCCGCAGAGGGGTGGCAGCCGGGGACACACCCCGGGCTGTCACCCACCAGTGTGATGTCCCCACCCCATTCCCATGCTCAGCTCACAGTCCCCCCATCCCATTCCCCCTGTGTCCCCCTGTGCCCAAGCCCCCTCTATGCCCAATACACCCCCCCAAACCCTTCTATTCCCCCCTCTGTCCCACCACACCCGGCGCTTCCCCCCAATCCCCCCCTCCGCCATCCTGTCCCGCCCCCCCGGTTTCCCCGCTCCCTTCCTGCCCCCCGCCCCTCCTCGCCTTCCTCCTCCCTCCGCCCTTCCTGACCCCCCACCCACCATTGATCCCTTCTTGCCCCCCCTCCCCCCCCCCCGCTCCGGGGCTCGCGCGTGCCTCCACCGCCGGTCCCGATCCCGATCCCGATCCCGGTCCCGATCCCATTCCCGACCCCAATCCCGGTCTCCCGGTGCCCGCTCTCCCAAATCGCGCCCGTCACCGCAGCCTCGGGGCGGGGGCCGCTTACTCCCACCGCTCCTACCTGCCCCGCCGCCGCTGCCGTCGCCGGGCCCCGCCTCGCCCGCGGTGGCCGCCGGTCCCCCCGCCCCTGCCGGGTCCGCCTCCCCCATCCCGGGCACCAGGGGAACCGCTCCCGCCCCTCCCCGCGCTGCACCCCCTGTGTCCCATACCCCCCCCCCCCGTTATCCCACATAGTGTACCCCCTCCAGGGCCCTCCTGGGCTGAGAACCGGGTCCTCTTCCCCCCCCCACCGGAGGGGCAAGGGTCGGGGGTGTGGGGACACGGGGGGATGTGGGGGGACCCTGACGTGGGGCTGGAGGTGGTGTGGGGACACGGGGATAGACTCGAGGGGACTCACTCATGGGGCTACTGGCAGCGAGGACACACGGGGGACACAACCGTGGGGCTGGGTGTGATGTGGGGACACAGGAGGATAACAGGGACCCGGCTGTGGGGGTGGCAGTGGGTGGGGGCAAAGCCCTGTGGGACAGCCAAGGGGCAGCAGGAGCTGTGTCCCTGTCCCTATGGGGAAGGTTTGGGGGTCCATGGCCCAGGGCACCAACAGGCATTGCTGGGTTAGGGGGCTAGGCTATGGGTATCACGGCACATCTATGCTCCTAATGCTTAATCCTGGATGTGCCGGATCCAGGATGTGGCCCCACTGGGCTGAGCCGCCCGGGGGGGGGCTCCAGATCCACTGTCCCAGCACAATCCTGGGGGATTCACCCTGGAAACGGGGTGATGGGGCTTCCCATGGCCTCACCCCCCACCCCACCCAGCAGCTGGGCCCAATCGCCAGCCCCACAGCTGGCCCCATCAGGCAGCCCCACACCATAAAAGGGGGCAGCAGTGGTGAGGCTGGGGCAGTGGCAGTGCCAGAGCCAGCTGGGACGGAACAGGGAGCGCCCAGGTAAGAGGGACCATATTGGGGCAGTCCCCATCATGGGGAGCTGCTGGTGAGATCCATGGGGACCCTCCACTCGTGACACAGATCCCCCTTTGCCAAGGTAGCCGTGGCGGTACGACCATGGCGCACCGGTCCTGGTCGGTGCTGGCCTCCCTGCTGCTGTGCGTGGCTGTGGTGGAAGCAGCCACTGGGTGAGTCCTCAGTGCCACAGCCCCACACCAGCAACCGGGATGAGGCGTGGTGTGGGGACACCGTCCCCAGCGCGGTTTGGGGGGTACAATGGGTGCCGCTGTGCCGCACAGGCGGTGGTGCAAGAGGACGGTGCAGGATACGGCGGAGGAGGAGGTGACACCGCGGCGCGAGGACGCAGTGCCCTGCGCCAGCCTCTACCACTACAGCCTGGCGGGATGGCGGATCGACAGGGACCGAATGCGCCGGGTCTATGGTGGGGAGCACGGTGAGCCCCAGCCTGACTCTGGCACCCCCCTCTGTTACATCTACCGGTGAGTGCTGGTGCGGACGTGCAGTGCGTGGCACAGGAAGGGGGGGCACCAGGGCACCCATCCCCGTGCTGTGCATCCCGTGCCTGATGCCGCAGGCCCCCGGAGACAAGGCCGGTGGTGTGGAACCGCACGGTGCTCGCCTGCTGCCAGGGCTGGAGTGGGCCCCACTGCACCGAAGGTAGGGATGGGTGTTGAGGTGCGGTGGCAGCGCCGTGCCATTGTCCTCGGTGATCCCCTGTGGAGACAAGGTGCTTCCCTGTGCCGCAGGCGAAGGCTTGCTGGGGCACTGCTATGGCACGTGGCAGTGCCAGGACACCGCTGGCAGCCGCAACCTGTCTGCTATGAGCCTGTCCCAGTGCTGCCGGCACCCCTGGGGGCACAGCTGGAGGAACGGCTCCAGTTCCAGCGCACCGTGCCTCTCCTGCACCCGCCTGCCCCTCACTGGTGGGTCTGGGGGTCCCGGGGGGGGGGGCTGGTGGGTCCCATGGGATGTTTGCAGAGCGGCCTCACCCCCCTTGCCGCAGGAGAGGTGTCCCCACGGCCATCACCTCCTGTGTCCCTGCATGGAGCGGCCGCCCATCACCGGGGCCTCAGGGCTGGCTGCATGACCTGGGCAGGGTCCCACTACCGCACCTTTGATGGGACACACTTCCACTTCTCCGGCGAGTGCACCTACACCCTGGCCGCTGCTGCTGACGGCGCTTGGGCCATCGCCATCACTGCCGGCCGTTCCCGGGTACTGGCGGTGGGGTGGGAGAAGGGTCCCTGCCCCATCACAGAGAGTCTCTCTAGGGGCTGTGGGGCCGTTGGTCTGTCCCCACGGCGTGCCGTGGCCCCGTGGTGTGGTGTGGTAGCCCTGGCCCTGGCTGATGCCGCGCCACCGCAGGCACTGCGCATGACCTTCGGGGTGGGCACGGTGGTGGCCCAGGGACGGAACATCTCTGTGGACGGTGTGGCGGTGCCCGAGGGACAACCGTACCTGCACAACGGTGAGGGCAGGGGGGGCGGCCAGCCACCGATGGCACTGGGCTGGGGCCTTGGTGGGGCCAAGACCCCCAATGGCGCAGGTGATGGTGGTGACAAAGCTGCAGCAGGGGGGATCCAGCCGCTGCCTTGTTCCCATCATCCCCAATCCCGGTGGTGCCGCAGGGATCAGCGTGACGTGGCTGGGTGAGTGGGTGGCCGTGGCGAGTGCGCTGGGTGTGCGGGTGAGCTCGGACAGGAGCTGGGCAGTCACAGTGACAGTCGACACCGAGCTGTGGGGCGGCACACGGGGGCTCTGTGGCCCCTACAACGATGACCCTACAGGTGAGCGTCACTGCATGGGTGGCAATGCCCGTGCGGGAGGAGATGCAGTGCCGGGGCCATGTGCCATGACCCCTGCCTACCGCCGCCTCCCTGTGTCCCCAGATGACTTCCAGCAGCCCGGAGGGGACGTGGCCACCTTTGCTGCCAGCTTTGGTAACTCCTGGAAGATCCCAGCCACCAGCCCCGAGGTACCGGGGCAGAGCGAGGTGCGGGGTGTGCCCGGACCCCATGTCTGCTTGGGGGTCCCTCTGCGCTCACCCCGGCTCTGAGGGTCTCCCCGGGCTCAGCCCCGCTGCAGGGACGCGGTGGAGCTCAGCCCTGGTTGTGCAGCGGGCGATGCGGCACGGCCGGCAGCCGAGGCCACGTGTGGGAAGCTCCTGGCCGAGCCCTTCCGTGAGTGCCATGACAAGGTGAGGAGCAGCTCTGGTGCTGGGGCACTGGAAGGTGCCGGTGCCGCCGTCCTCACCCTCCATCCCCACACCAGGTTGAGCCCGGTGGCTTCCACACTGCGTGCCTGGAGCTGCTGTGCCGGGAAGGCGATGCAGGGCAGTTGCCGAGCCCCAGCATCTGCGACACCTTCGCTGCCTATGCACGGGAATGTGCCCGGCACCAAACCAGCATCGACTGGCGCCGGCCTGGCTTCTGCGGTAGGGACCTGGGAATGTGCTCTGGCACCGAGGTCTGACCCCGCAGGGCTGGTGCTGGTGCTGAGTGCAGCGCTTGTCCTGGCAGAGCGGCACTGCGGCGCAGGACAGAGGTTCTCGGACTGCGTCTCCTCATGCCCTGCCAGCTGTGCAGCTGTTGGCAGTGCCGAGGATGGGCCGTGCCACCGGGACTGTGCCGGCGGCTGTGAGTGCACGCCAGGGCTCTACCGGGATGGGGCGCTCTGCGTGCCCCCAAGCGCCTGCCCCTGCCACCACCGCCACCAGCGCTATGCCCCGGGACAGAGCATCCGCCAGCGCTGCAACCAGTGGTGAGCAATGCCATGGCTGGATCCAGCATCACCGCACTGGAACGAACCCCACGGATGGGCACCATGCTGGTTTGGGGCGGGGGGACAAGCACATATGCGTCCATACTGAGTGCGGTCGCGATGTGTCCTGTCCCCTCCCGGTGATCCCGGTGTGCCCTCAGCGTGTGCCAGGGTGGACGCTGGCTCTGCAGCCAGGACCGGTGCCCTGCGGAGTGCACGGTGCTGGGCGGCCACCATTACATCACCTTCGACCGCCGGCGCTTCTCCTTCCTGGGCGCCTGTGCCTACACCCTGGTGCAGGTGAGGGCGGCCACCGCGGCGGCTGTACTGGTGCCGGGGCTGTAGGGACCTGCCCTAGGGTGGGAATTGCCCCGGGGGTCCCCTTCAGCAGGGTCTCTGTGCCCCAGGACTTCGTGGAGGGGCAGCTGCTGATCACGGCTGAGCACAAGGCTTGTGATGGCCACCAGCGCCTCCACTGCCACCGGTCCCTCACCATCACCGCTCGCCGGATCTCTGCTCATCTCCACGGCACAGGTGACGTGCGGGGACCCTCCCGGTGCTGCGGTGGGACGGGGGGTGCCAGCCCGTGGCTGTGCCCTGAGGTGGCTGCGCTCTGCCAGCACAGGCGAGGTGATGGTGGACGGGCAGGAGGTGACGCTGCCCTTTGCCAGTGCCGAGCTGAGCATCCGGCGCGTGTCCTCGGCATTCCTGCTGCTCCAGACCTTCGGGACCCACGTCCTGTGGGGGGTGGAGGCCCCCGCTGCCTACATCACCCTCCAGCCCGCCTTCGCCCACAAGGTCAGCCCCAGCTGCTGGTGGTGCCCGGGGAGCAGAGCTGGGCTGGGATCTATCTGTGGGATCCCATGCCGAGCCGGTGCCGGTGCGGTAGGTGCGGGGTCTCTGCGGCACCTACAACTGGAACCAGGGGGACGAGTTCACCACGCCAGCAGGTGATGTGGAGATCAGTGTCGCCGCCTTCGCCAACAAGTACCGGGTGTCCAGCGAGTGCCCCGCGCTCGGACCTGTCCCACTGGAGCCCTGCAGTGACTTTGCCGGGCAGCAGGAGCTCGCCGAGGCTGCCTGTGCCATCCTGCAGGGCCCGGCCTTCCAGGTGCCACCGGTCCCCATCCCAGCCGAGTACTGGTGCCCAGTGCCATGGCCTGACCGTGCACTGCCACCCCCAGCCGTGTCACCAGGTTGTGGACCCGGAGCCGTTCCTGCAGCTCTGCCTGCGGGATGCCTGCACCTGCCAGGATGGGCAGCGCTGCCTGTGCCCGGTGTTGGCTGCCTATGCCCGGGAGTGTGGCCAGGAAGGAGTGGAGCTGGTGTGGAGGAACCAGAGCTTCTGCGGTAGGGATGGGTGGGAATGGGATAGGATAGAGTGGGGATGGGGATGGGGTGGGATGAGAATGGGATGGGATGGGGATGTGAATAGGATGGGGATGACGGTTGGAATGGGACGGGGGTGAGGATGAGGATGGTGATGGGGATGAGGATGATGGGGTGGGATGAGAATGGGATGGGATGTCAATAGGATGGAGATGGGGGTGAAGATGAGGATGGGGTAGGATGCCATGGGGACGGGATGGGGCTGGGAGTGGCATGGGATGAGATGGGAAAGGGATGGGATGAAGGGAGGATAGGAATGGGATGGGGTGGAATGAGATGAGAAAGGGATGGGATTGGGGATGGGATGAGTGGAGAAAGGGATGGGATGTGGGTTGATAGGATATGGATGGGACGTGATGGGGATGTGTTGGGGATGGGGTGGAACAGGATGAGGATGGTGGTGGGGTGGGAACAGGATGTGGATGCAGCCACCACATCCCAGGGGACAGTGGGGTTGGTGCCAAGGGTGCATGGAGCGTGCAGGGCAGAGCTGTCCCTGTCAGTGACATCCCTGTGTCCCTCCCTCAGACATGCCATGCGGTGCGGGGCAGCGGTACCTGGACTGTGGCCGCCCCTGTGGCCAGACCTGCGCCGACCTGCGCGGTGACAGCAACGGGACCGGCTCCTGCCGCAACCTGGATGGACTCTGTGTCCCCGGCTGCCAGTGCCCGGCCGGGCTAGTGCTGGCCGAGGGTGGGATGTGCGTCCCGCCTGGAGCCTGCCCCTGCCACCACGGCACCGCGCTCCTCCCGCCTGGCAGCCACATCCGCCGGAGCTGCAGCACCTGGTGTGTGGCACAGCTGGAGGGCAGGGCACGGCTGGGGTGGGTGGGATGGGGGATACTGGTCCGGTGCTGCGGGATGGGGCAGTGGCAGGAGGCGTGTGATGAAACCCCCCTATGGCCCGTTTGGGATGGCACCGCGGGATAGGCGGCTTTCATCGCCCGTCCCTGCTGCAGCACACCAGGGCCACCGAGGAAGAGCCCGCCCCTGGCCCCCAGCGTGGCTGGAGATGGACCCAGTGCTGGGGTGGTGGGGATGGGATGGGGTAGGAATGGGAACAGGATGGAGAAGGGATGGGGACAGGATAGGATGGGGTGGGGACAGGATGAGACATAATGGAGCTGGATGAGACAGATGGGATAGAATGGGACAGGATGTGGTGGGATAGATAAAGTGGGACAGGATGGGACAAGGAAAGACTCACTAGGACACAATAGGATGGAAGGAAACAGGATGGGATGGGATAAGATGCAATGGAATGGGATGACATAGAATGGGAATGGGCGATATGGAGACCCTGGCATGGCTTTGGCTGGGTGGGGGCCCTCCAGGGTGGTGGGTGCCGGGTATGCCCTCACTGTACCCTGTCCCTGCAGTGTCTGTGCCGGTGGGTCGTGGCGCTGCACTGCAGCCTCCTGCCCCATGGCAGCCCTGTGCCCTGGGGGGCTGATCCATGTGCCAGGCTCCTGCCTGCGCCACTGCGACAGCGCCGAGCCCAACGGCACCTGTGCCGGCATCACCGATGGCTGCGTCTGCCCCCCTGGCACCGTCTTCCTGGTGAGTGACCCCCTCTCCACGGGGATGTGCCAGAGAGGATCCACATCCAGCTCAGGGGGGCTGTGTGCTGGCAGGATGGGCGCTGCGTGTCTCCGGCTGAGTGCCCGTGCCAGCACGGCGGGCAGCTGTACCGGCCCAATGACACCATCATCCGGGACTGCAACACATGGTAAGACCCCCCCCCAGCCCCACCGGGGACACCGGGCACACTGTGCCGGGGCTGAGCCCTGTCCCCTGCAGCGTGTGCCGGCAGCAGCGCTGGCACTGTGGCCAGGAGGAGTGCGCCGGCACCTGTGTGGCCACGGGGGACCCCCACTACATCACCTTCGATGGCCGAGCCTTCTCCTTCCCTGGCGACTGCGAGTACCTGCTGGCACGCGAGGCCGACGGGCTCTTTGCTGTCACCGCCGAGAACGTGCCCTGCGGCACCGGCGGCGTCACCTGCACCAAATCAGTGGTGGTGGTGATGGGCAACACCGTGGTGCACATGCTGCGGGGTGAGGATGAGGACGGTGGCGCGGGGACAGGGGCGTGCTGCGGGGTCACTGTCTCTGACAGCCTGCGCCGCCCCGGCAGGGAGGGATGTGATGGTGAACGGGGTCCCGGTGCGACCGCCAAAAGCCTACACCGGCACTGGGCTGACGCTGGAGCGCGCCGGCCTCTTCCTCCTCCTCCTCACCCGCATGGGGCTGGCGGTGCTCTGGGATGGAGGTGAGACCCGCACGCAGGGGAAGGGGTGCTCAGCAGTGTGCCGCGGCGGGCTGCCGGTGCTGAGCGCCGTGCTGTCTAGGCACACGGGTGTACGTCCGGCTGGAGCCGCGGCACCGGGGCCGTGTGGCTGGGCTCTGCGGCAACTTCGACGGTGACGCTGAGAACGATCTCTCCAGCCGGCAAGGGGTGCTGGAGCCCAGCGCCGAGCTCTTCGGCAACTCCTGGCGTCTCAGCCTGCTCTGCCCCGAGGTGGACGGCACCAGTGCATGGCACCCCTGCACCGTACGCACTGGAATGGGCAGTGGGGGCGGTGGTGGCTGGGGGCCAAGGTGAGGGATGGAGGCTGATGGTGGCACTGGCTCCCCCCAGGAGAACCCACACCGGGCAGCGTGGGCCCGCCAGCGCTGCAGCATCCTCCGGCAGCGGCTCTTTGAGCCGTGCCATGACACAGTGCCGTGCCAGCGCTTCTACGACTGGTGCATCTTTGATGCCTGCGGGTAAGTGGGGTAAACTGGTAAGCTCTGGGTTGGGGATTGAGGGTCCCACTGTCCCCCCCCCACCAAACGCGCTGTGCCGGCAGCTGTGACTCCGGTGGGGACTGCGAGTGCCTGTGCACAGCCATTGCCACGTACGCCGAGGAATGTGGCCGGCGTGGCGTCCATGTGCGATGGAGGAGCCAGGAGCTGTGCCGTGAGTCACCAGCCGCTGGGCAAGGCTGCAGCGGGTCCCATGGCTGAGCCAGACAAGTGATGGGGATGGGCAGGGGGGCAGGAGTCCCCCATGGGGCTGTGGGGGGGAAAGGGGGTGAGTGCGATGGGGCAGGGGGGTCCTGGCATTGTCCAACCCTGACCCCTGTCTGCAGCCCTGCAGTGTGAGCGGGGGCTGGAGTACACCCCCTGCGGACCCCCCTGCCCCCCAACCTGCCACAGCCTTGGCCGCGAGCCCCCCGAGAGCTGCCGGGATCTGTCCTGCCTGGAGGGGTGCTTCTGCCCCCCAGGGAGGGTCCTGCACCGTGAGGCTGGGCGCCGGTGGGGCTGGTGTGGGGTGGTGTGGGGTGTCATGGGCAACGTGGGCTGGTGTGGGGATGGTATGGAGCTGCATGGTGTGATGTGGGGCCAGCACGGGCTGGTGTGGGGCTGGCATGGGTCACAGTAGGGTGGTGTGGGGCTGATGTGGGGCTGGCATGGGGTGTCACGGACAGTATGGGGAGGCATGGAGCTGGTGTGAGGCTGCATGGGGTGCTGTGGGGCTGATGTGGAGCTGGTGTGGGCTGCTAAGGGGATCATGGGTATGGCATGCGGCTAGCGTGCAGATGTGTTGGACCATCGTGGGGTTGCATGGAATGGTGTGGGTTGCTGTGGGGCCCACCATGCTGTCCTTGCACCTAGCTCCCTCCTCCTGGCCATGGTGCTTGGTGCTTTGACCCCTTCTCAGCCTGTGGCTCCGCTCCCTGTTGGGGAGCCCAACCCAATGCCCCCTTTCCCCCTCCCCACTGGCAGATGGAGGCTGCATCAAGCCCGACGAGTGCCCGTGCTTCTGGGACGGCTTCTCCTTCCCGCCCGGCGCCACGGTGCAGCAGGGCTGCAAGAACTGGTGAGTCCCTGCTGGTACCGGCCTGGCGCAGCCACGGGGACCCCGGGCTGAGCCGCCGCCATCCCCGCAGCACGTGCGTGGCGGGTGGGTGGCACTGCCCATCCTCACCGGAGCCGTGCCCGCCGGCACCGTGCGCCGCGTGGGAGTTCTCGTGCCGCGCTGACGGGCGCTGCGTGCCGGGGGCCTGGGTGTGCGACAACGAGGAGGACTGCGGGGACGGCTCCGACGAGGTGTGCGCCCCGCGCTGCGCCCCGCACCAGCACCGCTGCGCCGGAGGGCAGTGCCTGGCATGGGGAGCCCGCTGCGACGGTGTCCGCGACTGCGGCGACGGCTCCGACGAGAGCGGCTGCCCCACGGCCTCCTGCGCGCCCCCCGAGTTCTCCTGCGCCAGCGGGCGCTGCATCCCCCCCGAGCGCGTCTGCGATGGGGAGCTGGACTGCGGCCTCGCCGACGACTTGGATGAAGCAGGTGAGCGGCCCCATGGATGCCCCATGGCTGTGCCTGGGTTGGGCGGTGTTGTGGGGGTCCTGGGCATCAGAGCTGCCCCACAGCGAGGTATCCTCAGCCCCAGTTCATTGAGGGTCTGTGCCCTGTGGCAAAGGGCTCTGAATGCCATAGTGAGGTGTCCTGAGCCCTCTGACCCTGAGGGTCTGTGCAGCATGGACAGGGGGTCTGAGTCTCATGGTGAGGAGGCCTGAGCCCCCCCATCCCTGAGTGACTATGCACCATAGTGAGGGGTCCCTGGGGATCTGTGCCCCATGGGGAGCGAGTCTGAGTTTCTCATCCCTGGGAGTCTGTGTCCCATGAGCAAAGGGGTCTGAACACCTTAGTGAGGAGTCTTGACCCTCATGACCATGGGGGTCTGAGCCCCACAGTGAAGGACCCTGAGCTCCCCATGCCTGGGGGTCTGTGCACCACAGTGAGGGGGTCTGAGCCCCCATTCCTGGCTGACTGTTTTGCATGGAGAGGGGTCCTGAGCTCTCACCCCCTGGGGGTCTGAGCCCCATGGTGCAGGGTCCCCGACAGCTGCCACCACCACCGCAGGCTGCAGCCCGAGCTGCGGCGCGGGTGAGTTCCGCTGCGCATTGGGCCGGTGTGTGCCGTACCCGCACCGCTGCGATGGCCGCGACGACTGCGGTGACTTCAGTGACGAGCGCGGCTGCGTCTGCCCCCCTGGGCACCTCCAGTGCCCCGACACACAGTGCCTGCCCCCAACCGCTGTCTGTGACGGCCACCGGGACTGTGCCAACGGCACCGATGAGGAGTTCTGCCCAGGTGAGGCTCAGCCCCGCGCCGGGACCCCTCAACCACGGTGGCATCACCCCATGGGAATGGGTGTTTCCCCCTAGACCGGGTGACCTGTGCCCCCGGGGAGCTCCCGTGCCCTGATGGCTCCTGCATCGGCGAGGCTGCGGTGTGCGACGGTGCCAGTGACTGTCGCGACGGCTGGGACGAGAGCCCGGCAGGGTGTGCGGCAGTGCTGCCCGCTGCCGTGCCCACCACCAACACCTCGGCAGGTGAGGGGCGACGGTGCTGTGGGGCAGCCGACCCCCCATACAGCACCCCATGGCCCTGCACCGGGATGGCGCATGGTGGGGACCACAGGGACGGGCACCCCATGGTGACCCGCTGCCCACAGCACCGGCATGCGGCCCCTCGGCCTTCACGTGCCGCAGTGGGGAGTGCGCACCTCGGGGCTGGCTCTGCGACGGCGAGGCCGACTGCCATGACGGCAGCGATGAGCTGGGCTGTGCCGGCAGCTGTGAGCCCGGACACTTCCCCTGCGCCCACGGCACCGACTGCGTCCCCTATGGACACCTCTGTGACGGCATCCCGCAGTGCCGCGACCGCTCGGACGAAAGCGAGGACCGCTGTGGTGAGCCGGCGCAGCTGGGACCTCCGGTGTCCCCTCCCCAGTGTATGGGGACACCCCATGGTGGTGGTGCCCATGGTGGGGTCTCAGCTGATGGTGCCCCGGCACAGGCTCCACCGCCATCCCGCCGTGCCCCGGGCACTTTGCCTGCGGTAGTGGCCTGTGCCTCAACGTGTCGAGGGTCTGCGATGGGAACACCGACTGCCCCCGGGGCGAGGATGAGCTGCTCTGCGGTGAGGGCCGTGGGCTGTGGGTCGGGGATGGGGATGGGGATGGAGACCCCCCCACAACACCCCACTATGGACCGTCACCTCCACAGGGAGCCGCAGCCTCACCAGTGGGAGCAACAGGACAGGGGGGCCCTGCGCTGAATACGCCTGCAGTGGGGGCGAGTGTGTTTCCTTCCAGCAGGTATCTGGGTACCGGGATGCCCAACCCCGCTCAGGTGCCACCGTTACCCCCCTTCCTGGCTCAGCGCTGCCCCGGTGTTACAGGTGTGCGATGGCATTCCGGACTGCGGTGCCGGTGGGGAGGACGAGCGGGATTGTGGCGAGTGGGGGCTATGGGGGCCATGGGGCACCTGCACCCACTCGTGTGGCCCCGGCCTGCAGCGCCGCACACGGGGCTGCCACCAGCAGCGTCCTGGATTGCTGCACCGGTGCCGCGGGCAGGCTGCGGAGCAGCAGCAGTGCTTCAGCATCGCCTGCCCCAGTGAGCTGTCAGCAATGGGGGGCTGGAACTGGGGGGGACGGGGGGACCATGGTGGCAGCAGTCCAGGGGGGCTGTGGGGTGCCTGGTGGGGTATGGGGGTCCTTGTGGTTGGGGTGCCAAGGGGGATGCAGAGGTTTCCATGGCTGAGGTTGCTCAGCAGTGGATGGGGGTTCCTGTGGGGTTCCTCATGGCCAGAACTGCCCAGGGGATTTAGGGGCTCCTGGGGAATTTGGTGGTTCCCATGGGGGTTTCAGGATTCACGTGGGGGTTCCCGTAGCCGGGTGCTGGGGAATTGGGAGTTCCCATGGCTGAGGTTACCCCAGGGGATTTGGGAAGGTTCCAAATACCCTCCAGGGATCCTCTAATGCTCCCCTGCAGCATCCCAATACCTCCCAGATGATCCAAATCCCCTTTGGGACACCCCATTACACCTTTAGAACCCCAGTATCTCTTCAGAACCATCCAAAACTCCCCCAGTGTCCTGGCTGTGGGTGCAGAAGCCTCATGGGGGGGTCCCAGGAGGGGTCCCATGGGGGCATCCCACCCTCCCGCCTCCCTCCCACCACAGTTGACGGTGCCTGGGCCGAGTGGGGTCCCTGGTCCTCGTGCCCTGGGGGCTGCGGGGGGCTGCGGCAGCGGCAGCGGCAATGCCAACCCCCTCGGAACGGAGGCCGCCTCTGTGGTGATCTGCCTGGAGAGACCCCCGGTGCTCTTGAAACAGGTGGGGTGGGGGGGTCTATAGGGTTTGGGGTGTTCATGGAGTGGGTGGGCTCTATGGGGCAAGTGGGTCCCAAAGGGGTGGGTGGGCTCCATGAGGTTGGCTCCATGGGTGAGTGGGGTCCAAGGAGTAGGTGGGCTCTGTGGGGTAAGAGGGTCTTGGTGGGATGGGTGGGCTCCATGGATCGAGTGGGTGCTGTGAGCTGGTGGGTTCCATGGGATGGATGGTTGGGCTCTGTTGGTGGGTCCCTGTGTGCTCCATGGGGCTCCACGGGTGAGTGGTGCTAAACCCGCCCCCCCCAGCCCCCTGCACCCCGGGGGGCTGCCCCAACACCTCCTCCTGCCCGGAGGGGCTGCGGCCATGGCCCTGCGCTCCCTGCCCCGCGTCCTGCGCCGACGTCTCCACCGGAGCCGCTTGCCGGCAGGACCGGCCCTGCAGCCCAGGTGAGGGGCGCGGGGGCCGCTGCGCCCCGAGGTCCCCACATAGGGCCATGGGGCGGGCCAGGGGTCAAACACCGCGGAGCACCCACTGCGCCCCCCTTTGCGGCAGGGTGCTGGTGCGCTGCGGGGCTGGTGCTGGACGAGGGCCGGTGCGTGCCTCCGCGGGAGTGCCCGTGCGAGGCCGGGGGGCTGCGGCATGCCCCGGGGCAGCTGGTGAAGGTGGACTGCCGGCTCTGTGCCTGCCTGGGCGGGCAGCTCCGGCGCTGCCGGCAGAACCCGGACTGCGCCGGTGAGTCCCGGCAGCGGCGGCTCCGCGGCGCGGGGAGGAGGTGCCGGTGCCCCGCACTGAGCCGGTGCCGTCCACAGTGCACTGCGGCTGGTCGGCGTGGTCGGCGTGGGGCGACTGCCCCGGGCCCTGCGGCACGCAGAGCGTGCAGTGGTCGTTCCGCAGCCCCACCAACCCCAGCCAGCGCGGCGGCGGCCGGCACTGCCGCGGCATCTACCGCAAGGCTCGCAGGTGCGGCGGGCGTGCACCGGGGTGGTGATGGGCGAGCGGCGGGCTCCCGGTGCGACCTCCCCGCTCCCGCAGGTGCCAGACGGCGCCGTGCCGGCAGTGCCAGTCCCGGGGCCGCCGGCGCGCACCGGGGGAGCGGTGGCGTGAGGAGCCGTGCCACGTGTGCCAGTGCCTGCCCAGCCTGGCCGTGCGGTGCTCGCCCTACTGCCCGCACCGCGCCGCCGGCTGCCCGCAGGTGAGGGCGGGGGGGGGGACCGCGACACCGGTGCCGGTCCTGGCACTGTTGGTGCTGATGGTGACAGTGACACTCCGCAGGGCCGGGTGCTGGTTGATGGCCACGGGGACTCCTGTTGCTACTGTGCCCCCGCGGGTGAGTCGGGGCAGCGAATGCCGTGATGGGGGTCCCATCCCAGAGGGGCCGCCTGACACGGTCTCCGCTGCAGGTGACAACGTTACGGCCGCTCCCCCGGCGCTGCCGACAGCCGAGGCCCCCTCGTCCGCTCCAACAGAGCCCCCCGGCTCCTCCCTGCTCACCTTCCCGCTGCCTCCCGTTGGCGGTGAGCACCAGCACCATGAGGCTTGCCAGCGCCAGCAGGATGCAGGGACTGTGTCCCCAGACCCTGACCTGCTCCCACATCCCTCCAGATCCCTGCTTCCTCCCGCTGGGCACCGCGGCTCTCCCGGACCGCAGTTTCAGTGCCTCATCGGCGCAGGCGGGGAGCCCGGCACACGCCGCCCGGTTGCCCGCTGGTGACCATGGGGAGCCGCCGCAGGGCTGGGCCCCCCCGGATGATGCCTACGCGGCGCTGCCCGAGGAACCCCCCTTCCTGCAGCTGGACCTGCTGCAGCCCGCCAACATCACCGGTGGGTGCCGGGCTGCCCGCCGCGGCGCTGATGGTGCCACCGGTGCCACCGTGTGCCGCGCTGTCCCCCACAGGAGTGGTGGTGCGGGGAGCCGGCTCCTCCGATGCCTTCGTCACCGCGTTCCTGCTGCAGTTCAGCGCCGATGGCACCCGCTGGCACCGCTACCGAGACCTGACCAACGGCACCACCAACGCCCAGGTGCCACCGGCTGCACACGCAGCCATCAGTGCACGTGTGATGGTGCACATGTGTGTGTGTGTACATCCATGTACACCCCTCCGTGTTTGCCTGTGTCCCCCCACCAGCTCTTCCAGGGCAACCAGGATGCCAGCACGCCAGCGGTGCGGCTGCTAGGCCGCATGGTACAGGCGCAGCACGTCCGCATCCTGCCCCAGGACTTCCACAACCGCATTGTGCTGCGTGCGGAGCTGCTGGGCTGCCCCCCAGGTACTGGGGGCAATGGGGGAACCCCCCCACCCCACCAGTGGGTGCCCTTGAACTGCCCATCTCTGCCCTCTCCCCCCCAAGTACCCCCAGCCCGGCATGGGGCTGCGACAGTGACACCGGTGATGCTGCCAGTGATACCGATGACGCCGGTGACACTGACGGTGCCGGTGACACGGAGCCAGCACCCCTGTGCCATGGGGGAGTTCCGGTGCGGAAGCGGGGAATGTGTCCTCGGGGGTCCGCGGGGTCCCCTCTGTGATGGTGTCACCGACTGCCCCGATGGCACTGATGAGGCCAGCTGTGGGCCCCGCAGCACCACCAGGTACCATAGCAGGACTGGGGGTTCCCATGGGAGCTGGGTGTCCCAGTGGGTAACCCCTATCTTGGCTGTACATCCCCAGCCCTGCGGCCCCCATAGCAGCCGGTGTTTTGGTGCTGAGCACGACCACGCAGCCACCGCCAGTGTCCCCAGCCACGGTGAGCACAGGGGGAATGGGGGGGCACAAGGGATGGAGGGCAGCAGGTGACACCCCTCTGTCTCCGTGCAGGTGTCCCCTGGGATGGGGACCCAGCTGCCACCCAAAGGTGCTGAGCCCACTCCACCAGGTACCTCTTGTGGGGAAGGGGGGGGCTGGGGGTCTCGGTTGGGGTTCCCCCGTCCTTGCATGCAGTTGGGGTGCTGGGGTCATGTCCTGACCCCCCATCTCCGTCCTATGTACCCCAGGGCATCCAGGGGCTGAACCCCTTCCCCAACCCCACATGATGGCTGTGGGTCCCCACACAACTGCAGCTAGCAGCCCCATGGAGCCGGGAGTCACGGAGCCAGCACCGGCCCCCCCTGACACCCCAACAACCCCCAGCACCCCGGGGATAGGCACCAGCATCCCCACAGGGCCACCCTCTACCGGATCCCCCCCAGCACTGACAGGGGTCTCCAGCCCTAGCCCCCAAGGTGAGAGGACCCCTGGGCATAGGGCAGGGCCAGGCACGGCCCCCCCAGATGTGGGGGGCTCCCCCAGAGCAGGATGGGATGTGGGGGAACCTGGGGCAAGGGGGACAGCACCGAGCTCACGCCATGGGGCTGGGTGCCAAAGGGTTGGGGATGTTGTGGACTGGGTGCCATAGGTTTTGGGTTGCCATGGGGTTAGGGGTGCTGTGAGATTTAGGGTGCTGTGGACTGGGTACTGAGGGGTTTGGGGTGCTGTGGGCTCAGAGCTACCATAGGGTTTGGGGTGATGTGTATTTAGGGGTGATGTGACTTTTGGGGTGCTGTGGGTTTGGGGGTGCTGGTGCTGGGGAGCACCATGGATGGGGAGCACCAGGATGAGGGTCCAGGTTTGGGGGCACCATATCTGCAGGAATCCAATGTTGAGGGGACTGCCCCCCCCCCCATCCCTGCCTCCCCCCCAGGCACCTGTGATCCGGCTCCTTGGGGGAACTGGGGTCCCTGCAGCCGCTCCTGTGGGCTGGGGGTCACCCTGCGGCGGGCCCTGCCAGGGGGGGGCTGCTCACCGACCCCCCCCGACACCCGCGTCTGCTTCCTGCGCGCCTGCCCAGGTACCTCCGGCACCTCCGGGGTCCCCCATCACCCACAGGGAACCCCAGGGTCGCCCCAGGGACCGTTTCCCACCCTGAGGACCGCCCACAGATCCCCCGGGTACCCCCATCCCCGGGTGCACTCTGACACCCCTGGGACCCCCAAGGGACCCCTTCCCATTCTAGAGATCCCCATGTACCCCCTCTCCACCATGGGAGATCGCCCAGGGACCGCTGGGTACCACCCCTCACCCCAAGGACCCCTGACACCCCCATTTGTTCCCGATGGCCCCAGGGCTCGGGGGGCTGGACCCTCCCATGGGGGGAGCCGTGGCTGAGCCATGGGGCAGGGGGAGGCTATGGGGGTGTCCGGGGTTCCTCACTCGCTGCTGGCTCCCGCAGTGCCTGGTGGATGGGCAGACTGGGGGTCCTGGTCCCCCTGCGACGCCACGTGTGGGGGGGGCGTGCGGAGCCGGGAGCGGAGCTGCAGCGACCCCCCCCCAAAGAACGGGGGGGCTCCGTGCCCGGGGGAGCATCTTCAGACCCAGCCCTGCAGCCTCCAGCCCTGCGGGAGCCCCCCAGGTACTGCGGGGGACGGGGACATAGGAAGGGGATGGGGGCACCGGGTACCCCTTGCACCCCTGAGCACCCCCTGTGCCCCCGGCCCCAGCCTGCGGCCCCCGCATGGTGCTGGTGCGGGCCGAGGACTGCGAGGGGGAACGGGAGCCCCCCTGCACCCGGAGCTGCGGTGACCTCGGTGGCAACGGCACCTGCGAGCGGCGCTGCCAGGCCGGTGAGTGATGGGTGCTAGGGGGGGTCTGGGTGCCCGAAGGGGGTCTGGGTGCTCGGGGGGGTCTGGGTGCTCGGGGGGGTCTGGGTGCTCGAGGGGGTCTGGGTGCTCGGGGGGGTCTGGGTGCGGGGGGTCTGGGTGGGGGGTCTGGGTGCTCGGGGGGGTCTGGGTGCTGGGGGCTGGGGGGGTCTGGGTGCTCGGGGGGTCTGGGTGCTCGGGTCTGGGTGTGCTGGGTGCCGGGGTCTGGGTGCTCGGGGGTCTGGGTGCTCGGGGGGGTCTGGGTGCCCGGGGGGGTGGGGTGCTCGGGGGGTCTGGGTGCTCGGGGGGTCTGGGTGCCCGAGGGGGTCTGGGTGCTCCAGGGGTCTGGGTGCCCGAGGGGGTCTGGGTGTCGGGGGTCTGGGTGTTCGAGGGGGTCTGGGTGCTGGAGGGGGTGGGGGGTTGGGTGTGGGGGTTGGGTGTGGGGGGTTGGGTGCTGGGTCCCGAGGGGGTCTGGGTGCTGGGTCTGGGTGCCCGAGGGGGTCTGGGTGAGGGGGTCTGGGTGCCGGGGGGTCTGGGTGCCCGAGGGGTCTGGGTGTAGGGGGTCTGGGTGCTCGGGGGGTCTGGGTGTAGGGGTCTGGGTGCCCGAGGGGGGGTGCTCGAGGGGGTCTGGGTGGGGGGGGTCTGGGTGCCCGAGGGGGTCTGGGTGTCGAGGGGGTCTGGGTGCTGGGGGGGGGTTGGGGGGTTGGGTGGAGGGGGTCTGGGTGTGGGGGGGGTGGGTCGGGGGGGTCTGGGTGCCCGAGGGGGTCTGGGTGCTCGAGGGGGTCTGGGTGCCCGAGGGGGTCTGGGTGCTCGAGGGGGTCTGGGTGCTCGGGGGGGTCTGGGTGCGCGAGGGGGTCTGGGTGCTCGGGGGGGTCTGGGTGCTCGGGGGGGTCTGGGTGCCCGAGGGGGTCTGGGTGCTCAAAGGGGTCTGGGTGCCCGAGGGGGTCTGGGTGCTCGAGGGGGTCTGGGTGCTCCAGGGGGTGCCGAGGGGGTCTGGGTGCTCGAGGGGGTCTGGGTGCTCGAGGGGGTCTGGGTGCTCCAGGGGGTCTGGGTGCTCAAGGGGGTCTGGGTACACGAGGGGGTCTGGGTGCCCGAGGGGGTCTGGGTGCTCGGGGGGGTCTGGGTGCCCGAGGGGGTCTGGGTGCTCGAGGGGGTCTGGGTGCTCGAGGGGGTCTGGGTGCTCGAGGGGGTCTGGGTGCCCGAGGGGTCTGGGTGCTCCAGGGGGTCTGGGTGCTCGAGTGGGTCTGGGTGCCCGAGGGGTCTGGGTGCCCGAGGGGGTCTGGGTGCTCGAGGGGGTCTGGGTGCCCGAGGGGGTCTGGGTGCTAGAGGGGGTCTGGGTGCCCGAGGGGGTCTGGGTGCCGGGTCCCGGTGCTGAGGGCACCCCTTGGCAGGGTGCTGGTGCCCGCCGGGGCTGTTCCTGCAGGACGGCGGCTGTGTCGATGCCGGTGAGTGCCGGTGCCATGTGCCCGGTGAGCAGCTCCGGCCCGGCGAGGTGTTCCTGCGGGGCTGCCGGCGGTGGTGAGTGCCACCCCCGTGGTGCACCCCAAAGGGTTCGGGGAGGTTTGGGGGTGCCCCTGGCTTGCCCGCACGGCTCATCCCAGTGCCTGTCCACAGCACGTGCCATAACGGGACCGTGACGTGCGAGGCCACGTCCTGCGCTGTGGACTGCGGCTGGTCCGCGTGGTCACCGTGGACCCACTGCAGTGGCGGCTGCGGCGCGGGGACGCAGGAGAGGTTCAGGTGCGAGGCTGGGTTTCGGGGCTCTGCCCCACAGCCATGGGGCGGCTGCACCCCACGGCTGCGCCTTCCCGCAGGTCACCCACCAACCCCGCGGCGGCTGCCGGCGGAGCGCCCTGCACCGGGGCGGCGTGGGAGCTGCGCCAGTGCCACGGGCCCTGCGGCACCGGTGGGTGACACCGAGCACATTGACCCCCCCTTTGCCGGGGGGGCTTAGGGGGCTGTGGGGTGGGGTGATACGGGCTGGGTGCTGTGGGATTAGGGGAGCTCTTTGGTTTGGGGTGGGTGATGGGGGCTTTGGGGTGCTGTTGGCATTGGGGATCTGTGGGATAAGGGTGCTGTGCAGTTTGGGGTGTGAAGAACAGGGTGCTGTGGGTCTGGGGGTGTGAGGCAGGATGGGGGAACACCCCGGGATCTCCCGCAGCACCGGCACCACCGGGGCCATGGTGTGCGGCACCGAGCCCTGCGCAGGTACCGCGGGGGTCACGGGGTGATGGGGGGACGTGTGAACCGCACCGGCATCCGACTGTGCCGCGTGGTGCCGTGCATGGCCCCAGTTATGTGGGGTGCGTGGGGCTGAGCACCCCAAGCCTGTGGGGGTCGGGGGTCACCGTCCGAGCCAGTGGCCCCATCCTGTGTCCCACAGAGGAGCCGTGGGGCGCGTGGTCGCCGTGGGGCCCCTGCAGCGTCTCCTGTGGAGGTGGCGAGCGGCTGCGCCGGCGGCAGTGCCATCAGCCCGAGTGTGTGGGGCTGGGCCTGCAGAGCCAGATGTGCAACACCCATGTGTGCCGTGGTGAGTGCCGGACTGACCCACGGCCTGACCCATGGCCTGACCCATGGCCCAACACATAGCCTGACCCATGACCTGACCCATGGCCCGACCCATAACCCTGACCCACGACCTGACTCCTCCCCATGCCTCACAGCTCTGCCTCACCATCCTGTGCCTTAGGCCTGCCCCATGACCCTTCTCCATAGCCTTGACCCACAGCCCTGCCCCATAGACCTGATCTACTGCCCTGTCACTTAGGCCTGCCCCATACCCGTGTCCCACAGCTCTGTCCCACAGCGCAATCCCTTAGGCCGGCCCCATAGTCCTGCCCCACACCCTTGCTCTATAGCTGTATCCCTTAAGCCTGTCCCATGGCCCTGCTCCATAGCCCTGCCCTACTGCCCTCACACGTACCCCTGCCCATACCCACGCCCTGCAGCTCTGCCCCACAGCCCAATCCCTTAGACCTGTTCCATGCTCCTACCCCACTGCCTGACCCACAGCCTTGCCCCATGGCCCTCACCCATACCTCCACCCCCAGCCCTGCCCTATACCCTTGGCCCACACCCATGCCCCACAGCTCTGCCCCACAGCCCAATCCCTTAGACCTGTTCCACGCTCCTACCCCCCATCCCTGCCCCACACCCCTGTTTTATAGCCCTGCCCCACAGCCCTGTCCCGTCCCCCTGCCCCACAGACTCGGGCTGCCCGCGGGGGCGGGTGTTCCGCGAGTGCGTGGGCGGGGCCTGCCCGTTCAGCTGCGCGCACGTGTCCGGGCGCGTGGGCTGCGGGGGCGGGGCCTGCGCCCAGGGCTGCGGCTGCCCCGTGGGGACCTTCCTGCACCGCGGGGATTGCGTGGGGGTGAGCGCGGGGGAGGGAACGGGGGTGGGGGGGGTGGGAATGGGGATGGGAATGGATGGGGATGGGGATGGAGATGGGAATGGGGATGGGTTGGAGATAACTGGGCTGGAAATGGGATGGGATGGAATGGGAATGAGGTGGGGATAATGGGAATGAAAATGGGATGGGGATGGGGATGGGGATGGGGATGGGGATGGGGATGGGGATGGAGATGGGAATGGGGATGGGGTGGGGATAACTGGGATGGAAATGGGATGGAATGGGAATGAGGTGGGGATAATGGGAATGAAAATGGGATGGGGTGGGAATGGGGATGGGAATGAATGGGAATGGGGATGGGGATGGAGATGGGAATGGGGATGGGGTGGAGATAATTGGGATGGAAATGGGATGGGATGGAATGGGAATGAGGTGGGGATAATGGGAATGAAAATAGAGTGGGGTGGGAATGGGAATGGGAATGGGAATGGGAATGAATGGGAATGGGGACGGAGATGGGAATGGGAATGGGGTGGAGATAATTGGGATGGAAATGGGATGGGATGGAATGGGAATGAGGTGGGGATAATGGGAATGAAAATGGGATGGGGTGGGAATGGGGATGCGAGGGGGGGTGGGAATGAGGATGAATGGGAATGGGAATGGGAATGAATGGGGATGTGAATGGAGATGGGAATGGGGATGGGATGGAGTGGAGATAATGGGGATTGAAATGGGATGGGGTGGGAATGGGGATGGGAATGAATAGGGATGGGGATGGGGATGGGGTGGGATGGATCCCACCTGGGGTCATGGAGGAGCCCAGGCCATGGGGTCACCCACGGGACATTGAGGGATGCCCAGGTCCGTGGGTGCTTCCGGGGGTGGTGGATGCTCCCGGAGGCCATGGGTGCTCCATGGGGCGCTGGGTGCCCGGGTCCATGCTGTGCTCCTGGCGCCCCGGTGCCGGTGCTGGTTCCGGTGTGCAGCAGTGCCCGTGTGCGCTGCCGGCCCAGCTCCTGCGGGAGCTGCAGAACGGATCCACCGGCACTGCCGAGCCCCGGCTGCTGCCCGGGCAGGAGCTGCCCGCGGGGGGCACCGTGCGCACGGCCTGCACCAACTGGTGAGTGACTGCGACCCACACCGCGACCCGACCCATGGCCAGAGCCTGCCCCACCGCCCGGGCACCCCTGCGTGCCCCACTGCCCTTCCCCACAGCCCATTGACCCTTCCCCACCACCACCTACCCCATGGTCCTTCCCCTCCCGTCACCCAGCCCCTTTCCACCCTCACCCATCACCCAGCTCCCTTTACACATCACCCCATTGCCCTCCCCACCACCCTGCTGCCCCACAGCCCCCCTGTCGCTGCCCCCCAGCACGTGCCATCACGGCCACCTGAACTGCACGGAGCTGGGGAGCTGCCGCCGGGATGGGGCTTGGGGGTCCTGGAGCCCCTGGAGCCCCTGTGCACCCACATGCGGGGGGCTGGGGCTCAGCACACGCCAAAGGGGCTGCACCAGCCCCACACCGGCCTATGGGGGCCGGGACTGCACCGGAGCCCGCACCGACACCATGTACTGCCGGACCCCCGACTGCCCCGGTGCGTCACAGCCCCATCCCAGCCCCTCTAATGAGTCACAGCCCCATCCCTGTCCCCTCTGCTATGGGTCACAGCCTTTCTGCAGTGTGTTATGTATGGCCCATCCCTGTCCCCTCTGCTATGGGTCACAGCCTTGCTGCAGTGTGTTATGTATGGCCCATCCCTGTCCCCTCTGCTATGGGTCACAGCCCCTGGTGTCCCCTCTGCCATGGGTTGCAGGCCATCTCCATTCCTTCTCCCATGGGTCACAGCCCAGCCCCAGCCTCTCTGCTGTGGGCCATGGCCCATCCCAGACCTTGCCGTGGGTCACAGCCACATCCTGTCCCCTTGCCGTGGGTCCTGGCACATCCCCATTCCCATTCCATCATGCCAGGCCATAGGTCTCAGCCGCATCCCCTCTGCCCTGCAATGAGTCCCATCCCCATCCCCATCCCCCCTGCCCCACGGGGCCATGGGTCCCACGGGGGTTTGGAGGTGTCACCATGTTCTCTACCCCCAGCCATGCCCACCCCCACGTCGAGGCCCAGCCCCACATCCCCAGGCCCTGAGGCCGAGGGAGGCTTCGGGCCCTGGTCCCCCTGGAGCCCCTGCTCCAGGACCTGCACCCGCCCCGAGGCTCCGGCCACCAAGAGCCGCAACCGCTCCTGCAGCGGCGCCGGGGACTGCAGCGGGGAGAGCGAGCAGCAGCGGGCCTGCAACCTGCCCCACTGCGACGGTGCGGCATGGGGGCCTGACCCACAGCGTGTGGGGCTGGGGGGGGAACCTGCCCCATGGCATGGGTGGGACACGGGGGGGGGACCCTGCCCCATTGTGTGAGTGGGCTATGGCAAGGAGGGAAGCCGCAAGCTATTGGGGGGGATCCTGCCCCATCTACAAGGGTGGGCTATGGGGACACCCTGCCCCACTGCAGCAGTGTGCTATATGGGGAACCTGCTCCAGTGTGCGGGTCACTTATGGGAGGGAGACACCCTGCCCCACTGCATTATGGGGTGGGGACATGCCCCACTGCAAGGGTGGGCTATGGGAGGGGGAGGCACACCCTGCCCCATCACACTGGGGAGCTATGGGGGGTCCTTCCCCACTGAATGTGTGGGTTATGGGGGGGACACATCCTGCCACGCTGCACTGGGAGGGCCATAGATGGGGAGCCGTGTCCCTGGGCTCATGGCTGCGGGGGTCCCACAGCCCCCCCCTGCCCCGGTGGGGCCTGTGACTGCGAGTGGACGCCGTGGGGCCAGTGGGGCGGCTGCTCCCGCAGCTGCGGGGGGGGGCTGCAGCTGCGCCTGCGGGCGTACACCCCCCCCGGGCCGGGGGGGCGCTGGTGCCCCGACATCGGCAGCGCCAGCACCGAGCGTCGCGCCTGTGGCCTGCGCCCCTGCACCGGTGTGGGGCTGGGGGGGGGGCTGTTGGGGGGCTCAGGGTGGGCTTGGGAGGGGATTGAGGGGCTTCTTGGGGTGCTTGGGGTGGGCTTGGGGAGCTCGGGGGGATTGTGGGAAGTTGGGGGGGTCTCAGTGGGATTGGGGAAGGGTTTGGAGAGGGATTGGGGGCTCAGGGTGGGTTTGGAGGTTGAGGGGCTCAGGAGGCAATCGGGGGGGGTCTTGGAGGAGTTTGGGGGTTTTTGAGGGCTTTGGGGGCTTGTTGGGGTGCGCTTGGGTGGCTTGGGGGGGTGTTGATGGGGATTGGAGGCTTGTTGGGGTCTTTGGGGAGGTTGTGGGGGGTCAGAGGGGGCTGATGAGGGGACACCCCCCCCCGACCCGCCCCATGATGCAGTGAACGGCGCCTGGTCCCCCTGGAGCCCCTGGTCCCGGTGTGACCGGACGTGCGGGGGGGGCCGCTCCCTGCGCAGCCGCTCCTGCACCCGGCCCCCTCCCAAGAACGGGGGTGAGCCCTGCCCGGGGGAGCGGCACCAGCTGCGGCTCTGCAACCCCCAGCCCTGCGGTACGGACACGGCACCGGGGCTCACCGGGGCTCACTCACCGGGATCACCGGGGTCACCGGTGCGTGTCGGTGCCGCCCCCAGGGCAGAGCTGTCCCCCGGGCACGGTGCTGGTGCCCTGCGCCAACCGGTGCCCGCGGCACTGCGGGGACCTGCGTGCGGGGCTGTCCTGCGGGCCCGAGGAGCGCTGCCGGCCCGGCTGCCGCTGCCCCGACGGTGAGTGCGGCCCCGCTCCTCTCCGGGCCCCGCAGCCCCGCGCCGGTGCCGTGTCCCCACGCGTGCCCGTGCCCCGCAGGGTCCCTGGAGCAGGACGGCGCCTGCGTGCCCCTCACCCGCTGCGAGTGCACGGACGCGGCCGGGCGCGGGTGGGAGCCCGGGAGCCGCCACCGCGATGGGTGCGAGAGCTGCGAGTGTGAGAGCGGGCGCCTGCGCTGCGCCCCCGACGGGTGCCCCCTGCCCCGGTGCCGCTGGAGCCCCTGGGGCCGGTGGGAGCCCTGCAGCGTGACCTGCGGGCACGGGCGGCAGCACAGGCACAGGTGGCACCGGGCGCGGGGACGGGGTGGCACACACACACAAGGGGATGTGGTACCCTGGGGGACACACAGAGCCGGGGGGGGATGCATGAGACTTGTGGCAGGGGGAAATGGCACCTGGAGAGGACACGGGAGATCCGGCTCCCAGGGGATACAGAACCCATAGCACCTGGGGGATGTATGGCACCTGGGAGGGGGCAAAATGCGTGGGACACACTGTATGGGGGGACACAGCATCAGGGGGGTATGTATGGCACCCTTGGGACATGGCACCCAGGTGGGACACGTGGCACCTGAAGACATATGGCACTTGGGAAGGGGATGGCAGCACCCCAGCGATACACAGGGTACCTAGGGGACATGTGCACCAGGGGGGTACACCGCACATGGGGGGCACACAGCACTTGGGAGGAACATATAGCACCCAGAGGGACATGGCACCTGGGGAGGACATGGGAGACACAGCAGCAGGGGAGACACATGGCACCTGGGAGGGACATATGGGATCATATGGCACCTGGGGGAGGGGAGGGGGACATGGCACATGGGGTACACTCATGGCACTGAATGGGGACACAGCACCCGGAGGGCACATGTGGCACTTGCAGGGGGGGAAATGGCACCTGTGGGGGGACACAGAGCACCCAGTGGGCACCCGGGCCAGGTGCTGTTGTGCCCCCCCCCATGCAGTGGGTGACCTCGGTGTCCCCCCAGGACCGCCATCGCAGTGGCGGGTGCTGTGCCATGCGAGGGCCCGCAGGAGCAGAGCCGGGACTGTGCCGAGGGGCCCTGTCCGGCCCTGTGCCCGCGGGAGGGCGGCAATGGGAGCCTGGGGGAGAGCTGGATGCAGGGACCCTGCCGGCAATGGTCAGTGAAGGGACTGCGGTGGGGTGGGGATGGGGAGATAGGGACAGGGATGGGGATCAGGATGGGGGCCGCCCGTGTCCCCACAGCACCTGCACCCCCGAGGGCATCCAGTGCCAGGACATCCCCTGTGACGGTGAGTGCTCCCCTGCACACTGGACCCAGGGAGAGAGACGAGGGCCAGGCCGGGTCCCCGCGGTGCCCAGTGACCTCCGTGTTGTACAGACCTCTGCCTCTGGGGGTCGTGGGGGCCCTGGGGACCCTGCCAGGACCCCTGCAGCGGTGGCTACCGCCTGCGCCAGCGCCGGCCCCAGCACCCGGCGGGTGATCGGCAGTGCCACGGGGCCCGTGCCCAGACCCAGAGCTGCAACACCGCTGCCTGCGCAGGTAATGCCTGCATGCGGTGGGTGCCGGTGCCGGTGCCGGTGCCGGTGCTGGCGCCAGTGCCTCACCTTAACACCAATGTGCCCAGGCGAGGGGTGTGATGAGCGTGGACGGGTCTTCACCATGTCCTGCGCCAACCGGTGCCCCCATGCCTGCGCTGACCTCTGGCCCCACGTCGAGTGTCTGCAGGGACCCTGTGAACCGGGTATGTGCACCGAGCTGCGGCACACCCTGACCCATAGGGGGGTGCCCCACCTCATAGCGCAGTCCCCTGACCATTAGCACACTCACAGCCCTATATCACGGTCTCATACACCATAGCACACCCTTTACCCCACAGCACACGCCTGCGATTCCTTAACACAGCTCCCCACCTCGTTGCACAGCATCCTGCCCCATAGTATGGCCCCTTGACCAATAACACATCCCCAGCCCTCTAGCACGTCCCCCACTCCATAACATCCTCCCCTGCCCCATAGTAAACCTCACTTCTCATAGAATGGCCTCCTGCCTCACAGCACAGCCCCTGCCCCATAGTACACACCTGTGCTCCATAGCACAGCTCCCACCCCATAGCATGCCCCCTGACCCTAGCACAGCTCCCCCCATTAACCCTGCCTCAAAGCACCAACTGCCCCCCAGTGCACCCATGTACATCCCCATGGTGAAGCCCCCTGGCCCCCATGTCCTTGGGAGCACCCACAGCACCCATGGGTTCAGCCCTGCCCCTGTGTGCCCACAGGGTGCCGGTGCCCCCCGGGACAGCTGCTGCAGGATGGGCTGTGTGTGCCGGTGGGCCAGTGCCGCTGCGGGCTGCCCACTGCCAACGGCACCCGGGAGCTGTGGCCAGGGCAGGCGGCCGAGCACGGCTGCCACAACTGGTGGGTGCCACCATGGTGCGATGGGTGCCTTGTGCCATGTGGCACAGCCCGTGGTCCAAGACTGATGCTGGTGTCACTCCTGGCACAGCACCTGCAGGAACGGGACCTTCACCTGCCCGGCACTGGCGTGTCCTGTCTATGGGCCCTGGTCCCCATGGAGCCCCTGCTCCCGCAGCTGTGGTGGTGGCAACACCTCCCGGCACCGTGAGTGCCAGGAGAGCGCTGGGGGGGAGCCCTGCAGTGCCACTGACACTGAGGAGATGGCTGAGTGCAACCTGCAGCCATGCCCCGGTGAGTGCCGGTGTGGTGGGATGATGGTGGAGAGATGGTGGGACGGCAAAACATTGGGACAGCAGGATTATAGCAGGCTGATGGGGCAATGTTGGGATGATAGTGGGACAGCAAGGGATGGTGTGTTGATGGTGGCTGGCAAGGGACAGTGGGATGGTGGCAGGAAGATGGTGGGGCAGTCATGGTGGACAATGATGGGATGTTGAGATGGTGGTGGGAAGGTGGGATGGTGGCTGGATGATGGCAGAACAATGATGGAACAGTGGGATGATGTTGGGATGGCCAGTCAGGGACTGTGGGACAATGGTTTGATGACAGTGGGATGATAGTAGGATGGTGGTGGGATGATGGGATGATGGCAGGACAATGTCAGGACAGTAGGGCAGCAGGAGAATCGTGAGATAGTGGGGTTGCAAGGGGTGGTGGAATGATGGTGCAATGGTAGTGGGACAGTGGGATAATGGCAGGATGATTGACACCAAGGGACAATGGTGGGACGATGGTGGGACAGCCAGGGGTGATGCAGGGATGATGCAGGGATGCCAGGGGGATGGTGGCCATGGAGTCCCATCGCTGACCCCGCTCCCGCAGGCGGCTGCCGGCTGAGCCCCTGGTCCCCGTGGAGCCGCTGCAGCACCACCTGCGGTGGAGGCACCTCCGAGCGCCGCCGGGAGCTGCTGCCGGGGCCGGGGGGGCCGTGTCCCCTCCTGCCGCCGCCGCTGCTGCTGCTGCACCGCGTCTGCAGCGCCCGCAACTGCTCCCCGGGTAAGGAAGGGGCGGGCGCCGGGCGCGGGGGCGCGGGGCTTGGGGCCCGGTCCTTGTGTCCCAGCCGCCGCTCCCCCCGCAGAGTGCCCCGGCGGGCAGCGGCTCGGTCCCTGCGCCAACGCCTGCCCCCGGCACTGCGCGCACCTCGGCCCCGGGGCGCGCTGCGTGACACGGAGCTGCCAGCGCGGCTGCGCCTGCCCGCACGGACAGGTACCGGCAGCGGGACCGGCACCGGGGCCACAGCAGCACCCGAGGGCCCCGCTGCACCCAGGGACCTCACTGTACCACGGGGACTCCCCATCACCCCAGGGACACCACTGCACCCCAGGGACTCTTCTCCACCACTGGGGACCCCTGCCACTCTGAGGTCCCCAATGTCACCCCAGGGATGTCACTGTAGGGTTCCCACACCACCCTGGGGCCCCCACTGCAGCCCAGGAACCCACCACCACCCCAAGTACCCCAAGTTCACTCCAGAGATCCCCCCCAACCCTGGGTACCCCGATGTCACCCCATGGACCCCAGTATCACCCTGGGCAGCCCACTGTCACCATAGGGACCCCACACCATGCTGAGGAGCCCTGCCACCCTAGGCACACATCTCCATCCCAGGGACCTCACCTCACCCCAGGGAACTTCCTCCACCCCAGGCACTACCCCTATGCTAGGGAACCCCCATCACCGTGGGGACCCCATTTCCCCACCACTGCCTCCTGGGTGGGGGTCTTGGGTTTTGGGGTCTGGCCAAAGGGGGTCCCCGCGTCCCATCCCTGCTGGTGTTTGCAGGTGCTGCAGGACGGGGCCTGTGTCTCCCCTGCACTGTGCCGCTGCCACCTGCCCCCTGCCCTGGCTGCAGCACTCAACCTCTCCCTGGCACTGGAGCTGGCTCCGGGCACCAGCCTGCAGCACGGCTGCACCCGATGGTGAGTGCTGGGGATGGGGGTCACCGCGGGCCGGAGGCTGGCAGGGTTGTGCTGACCCATCACCTCTGTTTGCAGTGTCTGTATCCACGGCACCTTCAACTGCTCCCAGGAGGAATGTAATGGTGAGAGACCCGAAACCCCAGCCCTGTGCCCTCACCGTGGTCCTTGCATCCCTGAGCCATGGTCCCATACTCATACTATGGTTCCTGCGATGTGGTGCCTGTGACATGGTCCTTGTGTTGTAGCTCCTGTATTGTGGTCCCCATGCCTGTGCCATGGTCCCCACAATGCACTCCATGTTCTGGTTCCCATGCCATGGTCCCTGTGCCATGTCACCTTGCCAGAGTCCCCACACCATGGTCCCTGTGCTGTGGTCCCCGTGCCTGTGCCATGGTCACCATGCTGTGGTGACCGTGCCATGGTCCCTGTGCTATGGTTCCCATACCCATGCCATGGTTTCCACACTGTGCTCCCCATTCCTGTGATGCACTCTCCATGCCATTGCTCCTGTGCCATGCTCCCTGCACTATATTCCCTGCACTGTGGTGCCCATGCCATATTCCCTGTGCCATGCCCGCATGCTGCAGCCCCACATCTCCTCACAGCAGACTGCCTGTGGTCCCCATGGTCACCCTGGTCCCCCTGCTCGGTGACATGTGGGACTGGTGAGCAGCATTCCCAGTATCACCCACTCTGGCAGTGCCAGCAGGCAGGGGCAGAGTGCCATGTGCTGCAGCCTGCCCCCTGCAATGAGTGTCCCCAGCTTCGCTCTCTGCCCTGGGCACGCTGAGGCACCATCCTGTGCCACATGGCGCCGGTGCCATGTCCCTGTGCCACATGCAGCCTGTCCTGCCGGTGAGCGCTGGCAGGGCCCCGATGCGCCGGACGGCTGTGACCGGAGCTGCGAGGACATTGCGGAGACCTGGCACAACTGCAGCGTCCCCCTGGCCCCCGGCTGCTCCTGCCAGCCCGGGCACTACCGCAACAGCACCGGACACTGCGTCCCAGCCGCCCGCTGTGAGTGCCGGCACCGCGGGCAGCTGCACCAGGTCAGTGGTGACGGGGGGCTGCGGGTGGGGGTCCTGCGTGTCTGGGTGTCCCTTGTGTCCCCCCGTGGCTGGGCTGAGCCCTCTGTTGTGCCCCCCCCAGGCCGGCAGCACGTGGGAGGATGGGTGTCAGATGTGCCGCTGCCAGGATGGGAGAGTGACCTGTGCCGCTGGCTGTGCCCCACTGGCCTGCCCGGAGGTGGGGGGGGTCAGATATGGGAGGGACACATTGAGGGGCAGACACATGAGAAGAGGGGACGTGTGTGGGGATGGGACGTGTGGAGAAAAGAGGATGCATGGGTAGGAGGCAGGAGTGGGGAGGGGGCACATTTGGGGCAGGAGAACACTTGGGCAGGGGTCACATATAGGGAAGGGGCACGTGGGGATAGGGTGTACATGAGAAGGGGATGTGGGTAGGGAAAAGGGGACTTGTGGGGCAGTAGAATTCATGGGGAGGACGTATGTCTAGGGAGGGCATGTGTGGGGAGAAGGCCCTGGTGGGGAGGGGACAAGGGTGGGGAGTCTTACAAGAAGGGGACACACGTGGGGAGGGGTTCCCTTGCTAGGGGGTCCCACATGGGGCGGAGGTCCCATAGGTGCAGGTTTGGGGGTCCCACATGGTGGGATCTGACCCTGCCGTCCCATCAGGGCACAGTGAAGGTTCGGGAGCCGGGGGGCTGCTGCCCCGTGTGCCGGGAGGAGTGGCCGGGTAAGGTCCCCACATCCCAGGGTGGGTCCAGCACCCCACGGCACTGAGGCATCGTGGGGTCCCCCACACTGTGCCGTGTCCCGCAGAGGAGCCGCCCGCCGCCTGCCGCCGCCTCACCGAGCTCCGCACCATCGCCAAGGGCCCCTGCGCCCTGCGCGGCGTCGAGGTCTCCTTCTGCGCCGGGCACTGCCCGTCCCGCACCACCGTCACCGCCGAGGTCAGCGGGGGCCGGGGGGGAGTTGGGGTCGGGGTCCGCGGTTGCACCCGCTGCGAGCCGCATCGCGTCCCGATAGGAGCCGTACCTGCAGAGCGTGTGCGAGTGCTGCAGCTACCGCCTGGACCCCGCCGGCCCCGTGCGCGTCCTGCGGCTGCCGTGCCCCGGCGGGCAGAGCGAGCCCGTGGTGCTGCCCGTCATCCGCAGCTGCCAGTGCAGCCCCTGCCAGGGTGAGCGCCCCTAAACACCCCCCCCTACCCCAGTGAGGGGCAGCACCCAACGCCCTGCACCCCCCCCTCCGGCTGTGGGTGCAGCACCCCGAGACCCCCGACCCCGCTCCCACAGGTGGGGATTTCTCCCGCCGCTGAGAGCCCTCCAGGGTGCTCCGGACACTGCCCCCCTCTGCAATAAAGCTGCGGGAACAGCCCCCACATCCAGCAGCAGGGACTGGGAAGGGACTGGGGGGAGCACTGAGGGTATTTGGGGGGACTGGGGTGGGTTCAGGGGGACACGGGGGGGGACGCGGGGGGCTTGAGGGGACTGAGAAGGGATTGGGGAGGATCAGGGTGGGAATGGGAGGGACTGGAGAAACAGGGAGGGACGGGAAAGGTTCAGGGGGCAGTAGGGAGGGATGGGGAGAAACATGGGAGGGTTCAGGGGGTAACAGGGAGGCATGGCAAGGGACTGGGGTGACTGGGAAGGGCCTGGGGAGGACCAGAGAGGGTTCAGGGACACCATGAGGATCCAGGGGGAACTGGGGGGAGCAGGGCAAGACCAGGAGAGGTTGGAGGGACAGAGGGGGACACTGGGAAGGACTATGAAGGGCTCAGGGTGGGCCAGGAGGGACTGCGAGGAGACATGGGAGGGCTTAGGGAGGGCGGGGGGGGGGGAGGGCTGAAGGGTCTTGGGGGGAACTGGGAGGGAGGGGGAAAGGTTTGAGGTGATGGGGGGGTCCATCCCCAGTGCCAGTGTGTAGGGGGTGTCATTTCCCCATTGTCCTGCTGCCAGCCAAAGCCTCCCCAGGCCTGTCCCATGGGGCTGACGCAGGGGCACCAAAGGGGCACGAGGCTGCGGTTCAATTAAAGCTGCCGATCGCTTAATTGTGGTCTGTTCATTAGAGCGGTGCGGGATGGGGGGGCCCTGGAGGGAAACGGGGGCTGCTCACCCTGGGAACCAGCATCGCTTTTGCCAACCATGGCACGGCCACGTGCTGCCACAGCCGGAGCGAGGGGCTTGGGGAGCTCCATCAGGTCTGAGAGATTCATGCAACATGTATGGCTCTCTGGTAACAGGGGAGGCCATCCTTCACATCAAGGTCTGGCATGGCACGTGTCCCCACCGCTCCACGCCTGCTGGGCTGCAGCCAGCAGCAGAGCTAAAGGTTCTTCTTGGTGGCAAACACAGAGGCCAACCCAGTCTTGCCCTTGATTGTGGTAGCAGGCATTTGGCCAGCCTCAATCCTTGCACCTTGTTGTCAGTGCAGTTTCACCTGCTTCATCCAATACCAAGTTGTTATTATGGCAAGGCACACACACAGATTTACACTAGCAGAGTAACTATTACAGGGTGCAGCAGCATGTTGAAGATGCTGATGCCAGCAAGGGACCAACCAAAGAAATTTCTTACCAGTGGAATTCTCTCACCCTCTTAATTTGTTCCATTACCTGCTTTATAACACTAACATTGTATTAGAATATTTCTATCTTTTGCTTTAGCATTTTCTAGCAGCTACTACAAATTTGTATACTCTAACATCTCTTTTACAAGTGACAAATCCATATAATACAAGGTGTAGTTTCTTATCAACAAATGGCTAGTAAATACAGGTGGTTTCATACACAAAATCAAAGCCTCTAACAATAGCTACTTTATAAACACACGCATTCAAGCTGTTACTTTTCAGTTGCCCCCAAATGATGTTTAGCAATCATTGGTTTTTCTCTATCTCATTCTGCTTGGGGTATTCACATTCAGCTCCTGCAGCTGAGGCATCAGGTTCCTCCATTCGTCTGTCCAGATCATGACAAGGCTTGACAAAGTTTGCAGGCAGTCGCCATGGGCCTGTAGGCAGGAGGACACAAATACACCCCCTCCTCCAGGTTATCAGTTCTTGGGAAGTAGATAGGTTCTGTATCTGCCACCTGATGCTGCTTAGGTGATGGCTGGTAAGGCTTGTGGTTGCACTACCCCTCTCGCTTTTTCAGTTAGCAGTTCTTGTTTCAACCAGTCTATCTGTTCCTCCAGGTCTTGGATTCATCCCCAGGTTACTTTAAACATATTAAGCTTGGCTTTGTTTTATTTGGTTTGGTTTTTCCCTCCTCGGCTCTGGTGTCCATCCTGGTCCTTCCACCGGTGGAGCACCGGGAGCCGAATCGGAGGGCAGCTTCAGCAGCAACCATAAATATCTGCCATCAACCGCACTTTTGCATTAACCCTTTCTTGTCTCAAATGTTAAACTACTATCTATTAGAAACTTTTACATGAACCCAACAACAAAAAATACACAGAACACCGTCTGCCCTCAACACACACACACACACACATATATATGGGATCCCACAAGCAGAGTCCACACAACTACGACATTTGAAGCACAAAATCCAGACAACCATTACTCCCACTACACAATCCCACGTACAGAACGTGGCACAAGGACCCTGTAGAGACTAACAAGAAACCAGCTCTGAGAAGCATCATTGCAGTGAGAGGTGGAAGGCTCAACCTTAGCGGGCATCCCCGCAGAGGCTCTGCCTCCCTCACATCGCATGAGGCTTGGGCTTTTATACTGACCAAAATGCACACTCATTCCGACACAGGTGGCCAGCCCATGTTGGAAGAAGTAGCCAGCAGTACTGATAAAGGTCTCCAAAGGTTGAAAGAAACCTGGACATACTTATTTTTACCAGCTTCTAGTACATGAGTATCACAGAGAGAATGTATTAAATGAGTTGTATATAAGCCCACAGTCCATCACAGACCTTTCCACTGCAGGTCTTGATGCAGAACTTTAATGTAAAAAAGGTTGCTCCCTTCACCTTAAGAAGGACTGAAAACATCCATAAAACGGGTGTCCTAAGATCAAATTTCAGTTCATTCAGTCACTGACAAGGGGGCTGTCCTGGGGCAGTAATTTGTCACATCTAATACAATTATCTGCAAAACCAGTAACACTACTGGGGGATGGGCTGCTGGACTAATTTACTTTACAGTACACTGTTCCTTTTTACAATGTCCCGTCCGTCCACAATTATATCATCTCATACCTTTAGTACCCCCGCGATCGCTCTAACCTGATTGTAGAAGGGGTTTAACAGCCGTGGCAAAGGCAGTAGCCAAGTATCCAGCCTTTTCCTCTGCTGTGCTCACTTTAAACCATATCTGAAGGTGGGGAGTAAGCAATAATTGAGCTATCATACGGACATCATATGGTGCTAAGATATGTGCAGAAAAAATATGTGCAGTAATTGCCCGGGTATACGATGATTTTAACCCGTAGGATGTTACTGGTTGACGCGCCTCCTTTACTGCCTTTACATCCAATGCCTCCCATTCTTTCCCCCCTGTGGAGTGTTAAACACCGGGAATGCAGAGGGACCCATAGCTGAAAATTCCCCCATAACAATTGCATCTTTGACCATCCCATGCCAACCTTTAGCAGGGTTATTACTGTAATCCCCTACCCATGCCCAACACCCCCTCCCACTCCCCTTTCTTTACTACTGGATTGTAGGAGGGTAGTGCAGAGGGTTTGGAGGTTTCTTTTGTCTCCAATACTTTAATGTCTTCATCAGCTGTCGCAGGTGACCGTCACTGAGGCTGGATCGCATCTGCCGACGAGCCGAACTGTCTGAACCGTCTGAGTCTGAGTCGGGATCAGGAAGGGGAGGGTACAAGTCCGGTTCTGCCGGAGACTCTGGGTCTGGTTCCAATTCCAATTCGGGGTCTTCTTCCTCTAGGTCGAAGGTGACCGCGTTTGCACTTTCTACTTGTACTTTCGGACGCAAGCACTGTTTCACTTTATCTTCCCCCTTATGCCGAGGAGGCTTCTGCAGTGCATAACCGAGAAGGGCGGTAAACTCTTTCCCTAAGTCTATTTCTTTCCCTATACCTCGCTTCTCTAAGAAGCATTTAAATAAATCATAGGCTGCCTGTCTTTCCACATCCATTTTTATATTCCTCACAAATTACACAGCTTTGGCGCCAATGCAGCTTATCCTGCAGACAGCCAAATGAGCGGGCGGCGAAGGCAGAGGCTCCTCTACCGGTGAACCAGCTCCTCTCCTCCAGGTCCTCGAGGCGACTCGGTACTCTCATCCAGCAAGATCAGTGCCTTTGACCCTCTGGATGCTGCTTTTCCATTGCTTCCCCGCTCCGCTTGTGTCGACCCCAGCCTCTACGGGTACCTGGGTTCCTTTGTCTCGCCTGGGTCTAAGTCTTGTTCGGGCACCAATTTGTCACAGACTCCATGTCATCGCGATGGGGAGGGAACACAACACAACCAGTATGATTGATAAAAGTGATCCGTTTATTCTGCTTAAGCCTGGGGTTTATATAGAGCTAGATTGCTACACACACACATCCTTGGGAAACTCCTGTGGTTACATCCCTTCTTCTAACACCCTTGTTCCTCCCTTCAGGATACCCGTTAACTACAAGGTCAGCTCATCCTTTTGCACAGATGGTGTTTTACCGAGCTGGGCTTCTCACTGACTTTTACAACACTGGTCCCTGGCCAAGTTCAGCCATGGGAACGTGACCCTTGCCTGCCAACCACGCTTCCACACTCTGGCACCCCAACATGGGCAGCGCCTCTCGCCAAGACAAGCCCACATCCCTCCAGCTCCCTCAGAAGCCCGCAGGCAGATCGCAACTTCTCACCATGCCCCACCAGAGACAGGGATCTAGGGATGAGAGAGGGGACGCCAGCCCCCTTAGCCAGGCGCATGCACTGCCGCAGCGCTCGCTGCATCGTCACCACCCAGCAGCTTTATACTCGCTATCGGGTGGGAAAGTAAAGCAGCCGCTTCCCCCCGGCCCCGTGCACCATCCTGACTGCACCAGGACTGCTTACTGCATCCCCCCACCCCAGCAGATGGTTGGGTCCCCATGACCTCCCCACCAACTGCAGTTGTCCAGCACTCCCAAGAGGATCTGGTGTGGATGCTTCAGGGCAGTTGGTGATGGAAGAGCTGCCGTTTGCTAACTGTTCACACATGGGTGCTCTGGTGAAGCTGACATGGGCTGCTCAGCAGCAGTTCTGGGGGGTACCGGGTCACAGGCCAGGGGTGCTGTGGTGAGCCCACATCCAGCATCTGGTCCCCATATCCCAAAACCGCTTCTCACAGCCACTACATGGAAGGGCTTCAGAGATGGACCCACACGTCCAATCAGCCAGTCCCGGTGCACCCACTGGTGCTGCCCCTGGATGCAGTCCTTGCCGCAACCACCACACTGCGGGACCCTCTTGACGGTGTGGCCGTGGTGGGTGACGGTGCTGGTGTTCCTCCTGTGGAAGCCCTTGTGGCAGAGGAAGGCCGCTTCCCATTGCGGATGTGCTGGTGGGTGACCAGGCAGAGCTTCTGGCTGAAGCGGTGGCCGTGGTGCATGTGCTGGTGCTGCATCAGATCCTGGCTCTTGCTGAAGCTCTTCCTGCACTCAGCACAGGCACTGGGGCTCTGGGGGCCAGCATCAAGGTCCACATGGGTGACGTGGCTCTTCTGGTGCTGCTCAAGGTCGCCGGAGCAGGGAAAGCTCTGGGTGCATTGGGTGCAGGTGAAGGGCCGCTCTCCTAAGTGCCTCCGGGCATGGACACCCAGCGCCCTGCGGCTCCGGAAGCTCCGGTTGCACTCGGGGCACCTGGGGCGCGACTTCATCCTGGACACACTCCGCTGAGGCCTCCCGCTGTGCTCGGGCACTGCTGGGAGCTGGGTGGTGGGCACCGGCAGCACTCCAGGGACACCCGGGTGCATGTGGGTGACTCCAGCAGCTGGGGAGGAGATGCGGGGTCACCACTGGGATGGGTATCCCCAGCCCATCCTGGTGACCGGAGATGCTGGGTCTGAGGGCAGGGGGTGCTGCCCCTGGTACCTGGTGCAGCAGCTCGGCACCGGCGCCGGGACGTCGCACGTGGCATCAGCCCTCGCTCCAGCTTGGCAATGATCTCTGGCTTGACGGTGAGATGGCCTGTGCCGGCAGAGAGAGCACGCGCTCCCATGGTGCCCCCCGGCTCCTTCCAGACCCTCTCCTGGCTGCAGCTGTGGCTGCCCTCCCACAGCCATTACATTCCATCCCATCCCCATCCTGTCCCATCTCCATCACATCCTCATCCCTATCCCATCCCCATCCCCATTCTGTTCTACCCCATCTCATTCCATCCTATCCCCATCCCCATTCTGTCCCATTCCTATCCCCATCCCATCACAACCCCATTCCATCCTATCCCCAACCCCATTCTGTCCCATCTCTATCCCATTCCATCCCATCCCCATCTTCATTTTCATCTCTGTCCCATTCCACCCCCATCTTCACCCCATTCCCATCTCTATCCCATCCCACCAGCACCACTCTCCACGGGAGGCATCACCAAGACGACCCCTCCCTATGCCCACCGCAGCTCTGCCAGCACTCAAACCACAGCAGCCATGGCTCCATTTCCCTCCAAAGGCCTCCTTCAGCCAGAAGGGCGCACACCCAACGGGATGAATTCCTGGCCCAGCAGCACCAGGAGACTCCTCACCCAGCGACGCAACCACCTGGTAGTTCTCCAGCATCACCTCCCGGTAGAGCCGCCGCTGCCACCCAGCCAGCAAAGCCCATTCCTCAGGGGAGAAGTGCATGGCCACGTCCTCAAATGTCACCAGCATCTGCAGTGGGAACCGCATTGGGTCAACGTGGCTGGGCCGGACACCTCTGCCGGGCAGCACTGAGGGCTCCTGCATCCCGAGCAGCACCGGCAGAGCTCGGAGCATCCCATGCCAGAGAGGGGCAGGGCACAGCACTGCAACATGAGGCTTGAGGCCAGGAGCCGGTGCACTCTTGCCCGTGCCACGGCTTTATGGGCCGCTGGCATTTTGTGACAACCACACCAATGGCACCAACCATGGGAATCCCAGCCCTGGAGCTGGTTCATCACCAGCACCTGACCCCCACCTTGCCGGAGCAGCCTGGCCCTGGCATGTCACAAGCAGATGGATTCACGGGTGATGTTTATCCAGGCAGACGGTGGTGGGATGCTCCGGATCCTACCAGTGATGCCAGTCCCATGTGTAGCTGCTCCTAGATGCTGATCCCTGTCAAGCACAGCGACGTGGGGAATAACATGGGGGCCAAAGGGCACTTACTGCCCACAGCACCGGACCCTGCGCTGGGGCCCTGGAATACCAGCAAAGGGAGCAACCCAGTGAGCATCCCCCGTGGTGTGTCTGGGTTGGAAATGGCAATGGAAACAGGGGAAACGGGATTTGAGGAACCCCCAAACACCCGAACCAGGCTCCGGTGCCCGGGGAGAGCCGCAGGAGGATGATGGGGGGTACCTGGGGGTACCGATCCGGGCGGGTAGGCCTCGGAGTGGGGAATGCCGAGTGGGGCCGGGAGGTTCGGGGGGTGCCGGGGGGGGGGAGGTGAGGGGGATCCCCTCCCTGCGCGGGGTGTCTGGGGGTGTCAGCGCCCATCCCCGTGGCACCAGGCCGCCCCCCGCCTCTCCCGTACCTACCGCGGGGCTGCGCCGGCCGGGCCGTGGGCGGGGACAGAGGCGGTGCCGGGATCCTTGGTGTGTCAGCCCCGAGCGGCGGCAGAGCAGGTCGGGAGGTGTAGTCCGGAGGGTGATGGGGGGATGCCCGTGCTCTTCCTGCCTCCATCCATAGGGATGTGGGTGGACCCATCCCTGGTGATCTTCCCACCCAGCGGGATTGGTGCCCCCCCCCCCCCCCAAGTCCACCTGTGGGATGTGGGTGCCCCCCCAAGTTGCTGGCCAGGGAAGCAGGTGCCCACCCCAGTGACCCCCTCCCCAGGGAAGCAGGTTCTCCCCCTCATCCAGCTGCAGGTAAGTGGGCCTCCTCCCGCTCCGTGGATGCAGGGACACCTTCCACCAGACCAGGTTGCTCCAAGCCCCTGTGTCCAACCTGGCCTTGAACACTGCCAGGGATGGGGCAGCCACAGCTTCTCTGGGCAACCTGTGCCAGGGCCTCATCACCCTCACAGGGAAGAACTTCTTCCTCAGATCCCATCTCAGTCTCCCCTCTGTCAGTTTAAATCCATTCCCCCTTGTCCTGTCCCTACCTGCCCTTGTCAAAAGCCCCTCTGCAGCTTTCTTGTAGCCCCTTTAGGCACTGGAAGCTGCTCTAAGGTCTCCCCAGAGCCTTCTCTTCTCCAGGCTGAACAAGCCCAGCTCTCTCAGCCTGTCTCCATAGCAGAGGTGCTTCAGTCCTCAGAACATCTCTGTGGCCTCTCGACTTGCCAACAGCTCCATGTTCTCCTTATGCTGTTGCCCCAGATCTGGACGCAGGGCTGCAGGTGGGGTCTCACCAGAACAGAGAGGGAGAATCCCCTCCCTGGACCTGCTGGTCACGCTGCTGGTGATGCAGCCCGGGGCACAGTTGGTTTCTGGCCTGCAGGCACACACAGCTGGGTCGTGGGGAGCTTTTTGTCACCCCATAATGCAAAATGTTGGGCTGCACTTTTTATTAGTTTCTGTATCGAGGGGAAATAAAAAGGAAGATATAAATATGTGTGTCCAGCAGCCACCCCCTAGCCCCTCACTTGCCCTCACACAGCCAGGAAGGGGTTAATCCCCCACCATCCTGTGGGCAGCGACAGCACTGGCTGCTGTCCCATTTTACAGCGTCAGGGGCACGGGGACCCCTGGCCCCACTTCTCCCATCACAATTCGCTTTTGGGGTGTTTCTGAGCAGCAGCTCTTGTGTGGAGGACGCCACAAACCCTGCCATGACGTGGGGATCCGGTGAGGCTGGAGCACCAGCTCCAGCTCCCAGTCACAGCATCACAACCAAAAGCCGGCAGCATCCCCAGCCAGCCGGTAGCTGGGAAAACCACTGACCCCACCGCACCGCTGGCCCCGCAGCAGGCTCAAGGCTCTGGTGATGGTCTCATTCCTCCCCTCACCGCTCCATCGGTGGGAACACACCCTGGGCAGGATGCTGAGCTGTCCTCACAGCCACCAACCCCTACTTGTACTTGGAGAGCGGCACAGGGCGCTGGGTGCAGGGCACAAGGAGCGGGTGCACGGGGAGGAAGGGGCCGAAGGGCTCTCCCTCGCGGCACCGGGACAGGATCCTCTCCTCGGCATGCCCACGCTGGTGCACTGTCAGCTCCTTCTTGTGGGCGAAGACGCGGCCACACTCGGTACAGGGGTAGACCCGCTGCACGGCGTGGGTGAGGTGGTGCGTCCGCAGGTTGCCCTTGTACTTGAAGCTCTTCCCGCACTGGAGGCAGGTGAAGGGGCGCTCGCCCGTGTGGATGCGCTGGTGCTTCATCAGCGTCGTCTTCAGGTTGAAGGTCTTGCCGCAGTCGGCGCAGGCGAAGGGGCGCTCGCCCGTGTGGATGCGCTGGTGGGTGATGAGGGTGCCCTTGCGGTTGAAGCTCTTGCCGCACTCCGTGCAGGTGAAGGGCTTCTCGCCGGTGTGGATGCGCCGGTGCTTGATGAGCTCGCCGTTGTGGCTGAAGCTCTTGCCGCAGTCGGCGCAGGCGAAGGGCCGCTCGCCCGTGTGGATGCGCTGGTGCCGCGTCAGGTCACCGTTGCGGCTGAAGCTCTTCCCGCACTCGGAGCAGCTGAAGGGCCGGTCGCCGACGTGGATCTTCTGGTGGAGGATGAAGGTCTTCTTGGCGCAGAAGCCCTTGCCGCACTCGGCACAGGTGAAGGGGCGCTCACCACGGTGGATCTTCTGGTGGGTGAGGAAGTTGGCCTTACGGTTGAAGCTCTTGCCACACTCGCTGCAGGAGAAGGGCTTCTCGCCTGTGTGGATGCGCTGGTGCAGGACGAAGGTCTGCTTGGAGCAGAAGCTCTTGCCGCAGACGGTGCAGGAGAACGGCTTCTCCCCAGTGTGGATGCGCTGGTGCCGCATCAGGTCACCCTTCTGGCTGAAGCTCTTGCCGCAGACGGTGCAGGTGAAGGGCTTCTCCCCGGTGTGCACCCGCAGGTGGGTGACGAGGTTCCCCCGGTGCTGGAAGCTCTTCCCGCACTCGCTGCAGGCAAAGGGACGCTCGGACGCATGGCTGCAGGGTCGCCGCGCTGGCTCGGAGCTGGGGGCCGTGGTGCTGCCTGTCCCGCAGGCGGAGGGCGGGACCTGCCCAGTGCCACTCACTGGCACCACTGAAGCCGTGTCCATTACCAGGCAGAGCCCCTGTGGCTTGGGGGTGACCCGCGGTCCTGCTGGGCTGTGCCGGACATCAGGCACGGCACCCTGCGCCTGCTGCACTGTCCATTGGCTGACATGGGGCCGGGGCCCCAGGGAACCCCCCCCAGCAGCCCCCAGGCTCTGCTCCGGCTCTGATGACCCTGGTTTCACCTCCTCCAGCTCCTCCTTGGGATGCCGCTTGCCACCGATGCCTGCCAAGAGAAGGGACCACGCGGTTACCTCCTGTGAGGACCCACAGCCACCAGAGCTGTGCCCATCGACAGAGTCACGGTGCATCCATGGCACTGGGGCCACTGTGACCCTCCGTCCATGTCATCAGGGCACCTTGTCCCCGTCTCAGCACTGTGAGCAGGGGTGGCATCACTGCTGCTGACCCCAGGGAGGTGCTCGCTCCTCTGGTGCAACACATGCACTGTCTGCCTGCACCTGTGGAAGAGCAGCACCATGCTCTGGCAGTGCCCACACACCAAGCAGCTCAGCAGGATGGCACCACAGGCTCTCCCTGCAGCTTTCTGCTGGGTTTGGGACATTGAGGCTGCAGGTGGAGTGGGAGCTGTGGTGGAGGCAGCCCCGGCCCCAGGATGCTGATCATGGAAATCCCATGGTAACACTGCCCCGAGGTCACTGGGCAGCCCATAAGGGACCCCAGAAGGTGCTGGTGGGACCCACAGGGCTGCCCATCACCTCCCCATGTCCACAGCCACTCATGGCAAGGGGGAGCCCTGACACCACAAACCGCATGCAAGTCGGGCTTGTGGCAAGGAGGCACCAAAGCCAAAGTGCTGAATGAAGGTGCAAATGTAAAGGGGAAACCCTATCTGCAGCTGCAGCCAGTGCCGGTCACCAGCAGCACCCACCACCCTTGTCTTTGCTTGTCTTGGCCTGCAACCCCTCAGAAGAGTTTCCTTCTCCTCCCATCACCCAGAGCATGGGATGGGAATGAGCCCCAGTGCTCACCTGTGCCACTGCAGTGGCCGGGAGCTCCTGTGGGACACTCGATGTGCAGCTCCTCCGGCTCCACCTTCATGATGACCTCGGGCTTGGCATCGCCTGAGAGCAGAGAACGGTGCTGGGTGGGCGCCAGCGGGGCCAAAGGTGACGCAGATGGGCTTCACAGCCCAGCCAGCAGCGATGGCAGGGTCGGGCTCACATGGGCACCCACTGAGGCTCATGTCCCCGTGTGGCATGGGACAATGTCACCGTGCCCCAGGGTGCCATGGGACAGGATGTCACTGTCCCCTGGGTGGTGTGCAACAGCGTCACCATCATCCCCAGGGTGGCGCAGGACAGTGTCACCCTGCCCTAAGTGGCACTTGGAGGGGATCAAGAGGGGCTGCTGCCCACTGCCCAGCTCACCCACCCCATTCCCCCTGGCTGTGTCCCCCCATATTCCCCACCTCACTCACAGGCCGTGTCCAGAGGGGTCACATCCTGCCCCAGGGAGCTGCAGCTGTAAAGTCCATATGCCGCATCTTCATCCTCACTTTTCCCAATGACTTCAGCCTTGATGCCTGTGGAAGGCAGGGAGGGAGGGAGGGAGGGAAGGAAGGTGCTGCCCGGAGCAGCTGGCATGGGACAGGGGACTCAATCCAGGACAGGGGGCTCTTGCCGAGCTCCTGGCCCTCACCCAGCCGCCTGCTCTGCTCACCAGTGCCGGGGACACCAGTGCCAGTGGCCTCAAGGCCCTGGGGACACCCGATGTAGGATTCATCCTCTGGTTCCGCTTTCACCACGATCTCACCCTTCGCACTGTCCCAGCCCTTTCCTGAGGAAGACAAACTGCGTCACACCAGCACTGCCAGCAGTGCTATCACGGGGTCCATGCTCCCTCCAGGCACGGAGGGAAGCAGGGGGACTGGACTCCCATCCATCCCCATGGCTGCCCTACGAGGACCTTCACCTGACCATAACTACGGCAGCAGCCAGTACTGGGTATGGCATCCCCAGCAGCAGCACCGTGCTGAGCTCTGGGCAAGTGGCACCTCAGCCCTTGGGGTCCCATGGCAGGGGGGAGCTGCGATGTCCCTGGGTTGCTGGGGCAGCCAGGACCTGCAGGACATCACCTCACCTGTGCCACAAGGATTGGGCATCACCTGGAGCCTCGTGTCCAGTGGGTTCCCCCCAGATGGCTCCTCTTGCTCCATCGCTGTGGTCCCACCAGAACCTGCTGGAGAGATGGGAGAGTCTCTGCCAGTGCCCTCCCCACCCCTGGGGGTCCAGGGGATGCCAACCCCACAGTCTGGGCTCCAACATGGGTGCCAGGTCAGGCCACCATCACCTGAATAGCCACCCTGGCTGCTCCTCACAGCCCAGCAGACACAAAGGTGGGGGTACAGGATCAGAGTAGGCGAACCCCAGCACAGGGACCCCCTGACAGCAGCATGGGGCTCAGCACCAGCATGGGTTGGGTACGCAGGGCTCCTGCACCCTGGCCCTCTCCAGCTTGGGGGTCACCGGAGCAACCCACTGGCTCTGAGAGGTAAAGGCTGGCTGTCCTCTCTTCCTCTTCATTATCATCATCCTCCTGCCAGCTCTAAGGACACCCTGCTGGGGGCAATGGGTGCTGCTGAGGGACCCCTGCAAGCACTGGGGCAGCAGGACCAGGGTGCTCAGGGGTTGATGGGGTTTGGCCCTTTCTGAACAGGAGCGCTCTGCTCCGGGGTTCCTCACCTCTGGCTGCCTGGGAGCAGGACCAGCCCCAGGCAGGGATTTGAGGTGAGGGTGGCTGGAACCAGCAGGAGCCACAGAGCGGGCACCTTACCCACACCCTGGGATCTGTCACTGTGCACCCATCACACCACTGATGGGATACAGGGCTGGGGGGCAGCCTCACAGCCACGGGGAGGATGCTCGTCTTATGGATGCTGGCACCCCCACATCCCTGCACCCTCTGTGCCACCCCACCACACCCCCGCCATTGCACTCACTGGGAATAGGATAGGGTTTGGGGCACGTTCCCCCCGGCACGGGACTAGCCCGCTCCCGGTACGTCCCTGCTCTGCTTCCCCCCCACGGCACGTCCCGTCCTGGTGCCCACCCACCCGCCTGTCCCAGTGTCCACAGCCTTTGCCCAGCGTCCCCCGCCTGTCCCGGTGACATGCTGATTGCCTCAGTACCGCCTTCCCGGTGCCACCCTCCCGTCCCAGTGCCCCCCACTCCCGCTGGGCACCTCCCCGATGCCCCCGCCGTCCCGGTCACCCCGACAATGCCTCCCCTCCTGCCCCCACCCGCACCACGGCTCCAGCCCCGGTCCCGGTCCCGGTCCCCGCCCCCTGCTCTCACCGGCGATGGCCGCGGAGCGCACCGGGGCGGCGGCGGCGCGCGGGGCGGCAGACAAAGGGCCGCGGCCCCGCGGGCTGCCGGGAGCCGTAGTCCGGGACCGGGGCCCGCCCCCCCCCCCCCGCCCGGTGTCACGGGAGGGTGCTCCGGGGTCCCGGGCGGCGGAGACCGGTGCTGGTCGGGGAGGAGCGGTGTCAGTGCGGCCGGAGCTGTCACCGGCACCGTGGCACCGGGCTTGGGGACACAACGGGAATGTTGAGCAGGTCGGGTCATGGAGGAGGCACGGGGGATGGACTGCAGTGGGGTGAGGGACACGGGGATGCAGGGACATAGGGAAGTGGTAGGGCAGACCACCCAGATAGATTTGGGTTCCCTGCAGGATGGCAATGCTTGAGTGGGCTATCCCAGCCCTTGGCAGGGAGACGCATCACTGGCACCAGGAATGGCAGCACCAGCCCCACGGGGATGTGTTTATTCCCCTCCCTGCTCTACCTGCACAACCGTAGCCATCTGCCCCAGATGTGTGCAGCAGTGGGGAGGGGATGGGAACGAGGTAAGGTGATGTTATCCCAAGTGGTACAGGGAAGTGCAAGGGGAAGAGAAAGAAAAGGGAAAGGAGAAAGGGAAAAAAGGGGAAAGGTGAAAAGGGAAAGCGAAGGGAAAATTCCAGCCGGAGGGGGCCTCCACCGACCATCCAGCCCAACTGCACCTCATCCATCAGCCCTTGAGAATGGATGCGTTTGGGTTCCCTGAGCAACGCCTGGCACCAGGGGAGGAAAAAGAGCAAAAGGAGAGCACCACCACCCCTGCACCCCCAGTGCCTGCACCCCCAGCCCGAGGCCACTCAGGAGTTGCTGTTCCCCCTCTGCTGTCCCTCCGCTTTCATTCCTGCCAAAGGGATTCATTAACCTATGAGGAACTGTGGACACCACGGTGCTCTAGGACTTAGAACACACCTACGCTTGCCTGAGACTGGGGAGCCAGTGGCACCAGTGCCCAAGGGAAGAGCTGCTGGCCCAGCAGCCTGTGCTCGATGTCACTGACACCCCAGTGTCCCGGACCCAGCCATGCTCCCCACCCTGGGGTGCCCACCCAGACCAGCAGCGGGACGATGGCACAGCACAATGGGTCAGTTTGGGAAATCTGCTTTCTGAAAAGGCAGCTTTTACTTGAGGGACATTCTTCATGGCCACAGTGCAGGGGTGAATCGACGCAGGGACCTCAGGGATAGCCCACTGCCGCTGTTGACTTGCCAGGGGCTTTTGCCAAGGGCATGTAGGAACAGGACAAGGGGGAATGGCTTTAAACTGACAGAGGGGAGACTGAGATGGGATCTGAGGCAGAAGTTCTTCCCTGTGAGGGTGGTGAGGCCCTGGCACAGGTTGCCCAGAGAAGCTGTGGCTGCCCCATCCCTGGCAGTGTTCAAGGCCAGGTTGGATGGGGCTTGGAGCAACCCGGTCTGGTGGAAGGTGTCCCTGCTTGTGGCAGGGGGTTGGAACTGGATGGGATTTAAGGTCCCTTCCAACCCAACCCATTCTGTGGTTCTGTGATGAGTCTATGGAGCAGTGGCAGCAGAGGGTAGCCACCTTCCAGGCAGTGATGGCCACCAGCTAAGCCGGGGAGGAGTGAGGTGAGATGCACACAGAGCCACAGCCTCCAGCCACAACCACTGCAATCTCCTTTCAGCCCCGGGGCGAAGCACAGGGCACCACCCTCCTCCCTCACATTGGGTTTGCACCCCAAAAGCCGGGGCACGACCAACAAAGGGGCTGGGTGCTACCAGGGGGCCCACGACACCCTATGCTAGGTATGCCCAGCAGGTGATCCCAGCGCTTGGATCACGGCCGCCCTCTGAACACAGGCGATATCCTCACCCTTGAGAGCCCTGGAACCACGGCAGGGTCTGGTGCTATTTGGCCCCCCAAGTCCCCAGCCCCACTGCAAGGGGGAGACCAAGAGCAAAAGTGAAGGGCTCTAGACATGATCTGCTGCCACGATGCAGGATGAGGCCCTTTTTGTGCTGCTACAAGAGACCAGACCCCACACTCGCATCGCTCACTTCTACTTTAAATGTAGACAAGGAGACACCCCCCACACAGGGGCAGGGCACTGGTGGGACCGGGAGAACTGGGAAGTGCCCTGGAGGGATATTCCAAGGCCTGAAGAGAAAATGAGGTGCTCTGGAGGGATTTCCCAATGTCCAAAAGGGTGCAGAGCATAGGGATACACAAATCATGGATGGGCACTGGGGGGAAGGCACTTTGCATCAATGAAGTCAGGCCCTGGGGGCAGGAAGGGGCTCCTCTGGCCCCTCCGCATCGGGATAAAACCCCTCCTGAGCTCCATAGCAGCCACGGCTACTGCCGGCAACCAGCTGGCTCGCCCCCTGCGCCAAGGCTCCCGGCATCGCGCTCCGCATGCTCACACTGGTGCCGCAGGAGCTTGCTCTTGGACCGGAAGCCCAGGTGGCACCGGGGGCAGGCGAGGCTCTGGCAGCGGCGGTGCAGCCTCTTGTGGGTGATGAGGTTGGCCTTGCTGCGGAAGGCCCTGTCGCACTGCGGGCAGGGGAAGGGCCGCTCGGCCGTGTGCACGCGCTGGTGCGCCAGCAGGTACCCGCTGCGGCTGAAGCAGCGCCCGCAGACGGAGCACTGGTGGGAGCGCTCCCGCGCGTGGCTGCGCTGGTGGATGATGAGGCTCTCCTGCCAGCTGAACCTGCGCCCGCAGCGCCCGCACCGGAACGGCCGCTCCTCGCCGTGTGCCGCCCGGTGCCGGCTCAGGCTGGCCTCGTCCTTGAAGCGCTTCTTGCAGTCGGAGCACTCGTGGCAGGCGTTGCCGGCCGCGTGCTCCTTGAGGTGCGCCTGCAGCTTGCGCTTGTGGAGGAAGCTGTCCCCGCACAGCGGGCAGCAGTAGCTGCTCTCACTGCCGTGGCTCGCCCGGTGCCGCAGCAGGTCGCCTTTCAAGCAGAAGGTGCTGCCGCACTCGGCGCAGACGTGCCGGTGCCGGCCCCGGTGCTTCTTGTGCGTCAGGAGGTTGCGGTGGTGGCGGAAGGCTTTCCCGCAGGCCCTGCACTGGTAGGAGGGTGCCGGCTGCAGGTGCTCACCCTCGTGTGTGCGCAGCCGGGCCTCGTCCTCGAAGCTCTGCCCGCAGGTGCTACAGATGAGAAGCGCCCTGGACACCGGCATCTGCTCACTCCCCGATAGCCCCTGGGGGGAGGCTCTGGCCCAGGTCTCTGTGTCACACAAGCTGGAGCGGAGCGGTGGGTACCACACCTTGGCTTCACTGGCTTGCACCGTGCACGGGACCCAGCATCCCCGGTTGTCTTCCTTAGACAGCTCCTCAGCAGCAGCCATGTCCCAGGCAGCTGCTGGGAACAGGGAGTCACATCAGGAGGACACCCCGGCACAGTGCCCACAGTGCTGGCGTCCTGCCTGCTGCAGCCTCCCCTCATCCCTGCAATGCCCACAGGGCAACTGGGCCAGGGGGCCGAGGCAGGATGCCCTGACCAGGGATGACAGCCAGCAGGGGCTGTCTCGGTGGCCACCTCACCCCAGCTTGCTACAGCAGCACCGATATCCCATCCCAGTGCCCCTGGCCATGCCAGTGTCCCAGTGCTCACTCACAGGTTCCAGAGGTGTCAGGAGCAGCCCGGTCCCCTCTGTCGCAGGGGTCTCCCACATACGACTCCTCCTCAGCCTCCATCTTGCAGACAAACTTGGACTCGGAGACTGTGCAGAAGAGAGGACCCTCAGTGTCCCCTGAGCCACCCCAGGAGTGTTACTGTCACTGTCACAGACACTGGGCCGGGGGGCTGCCGGCTGTGGAAGCAGCAGGTCCAGGGAGGGCTGCCAGTGCTGTGGCATCAAACTGGGATGCACCCGGATGGGGAGCAGCAGGGCCAGGGAGCCTGGAGCCGTTACTCCTCACACACTGGGGACAGGCTCAGCAGGTCAGGCTGTGACCCGGACCCCAGCCAAGCCTCTGGAACCCCAGCTCAGTCCCGAGGCCCCATGAGCTCCGTGCGGGGCTCACCCTTACCCAGGCTGGCAACGAGGTCTCGGTTCTCCAGCATCACCTCCCAGTAGAGCTGCCGCTGCCACCGCATCAGCTGCCTCCACTCCTCGGGGGAGAAGCGCACGGCCACATCCTCGAAGGCCACCGCACCCTGAGAACAAGACAGCGAGAGGGGGGGTCCCGGGGGTCCCGCAGCGCACCGGGACCCGGCGCACACACCGCCTCCCCCCACCCCGCTCCTCCCTCCCTGTCCCGGGGGCAACGGGAGCCACGGGCAGGAACTGCCGCCAGGATGGGAAATGGGTGCGGAAATGGGACCGGGGCACCCTCTCGCCCCGGGATACCCGGCCCGGCCTTACCCGCTGCATCTCTGCCCGGGGCACCGCCGCCAACCGGGAGACAGCCGGCGTCAGCGCCGCGATGGCTGCCGGGGAGGGCCCGGAAGGGGACGGGGAGGGCTGGACCGGACCTCGATGGGCGGTGGGAAGGGGCGGAGCGTCGGCAGCGGCGGAGGGGAGCTGCGGGCCTTCGGTCCCGCACACCGGGAGCATCCCCCCCCTGGCATGCGGAGCCCCCAGGAGCATCAGCCCCGGGTGCGCTCGGTGACATTGGAAGGAACCGTGGGGACCAAGCAGCGCCCGAGGGCTACCAGCAGCGGTTCTCTCCCCATTGCCACCACCCGGAGCGGGGGCCACCAGCTCCCTTTGCCCTCCCTATACCCTCACATGTATTTTGCTGCCCTCCCCGCCGTCCGCAGCCTGCCAAGCTCTGGCTGGGGACATGGGACAGCCCTCGAGCCCGTGAACCTTCCCCTATAGGGGTCCAGCCCTTTGGTCCCACCACCGACCCACACCGGGTCCCATGGGGTGTTGTGCTGCTGGCTCCATCCCTGTGGGTGTTTTGCTGTAGCTCCAGGTGCGGGGATCCCCTAGAGAGAGGTGCCGAGGGGGGGGGCTTCATGCGCCAGGGCTCTGAGAGGGGCATACTCCAAAACCAAGGGGAATCGCAGGTGGGAACTTCCCTGAGCAGAGTGAGGTTTGGCCTCCGCTCCTCTGCCCCGTGCCGGGTGTGCCAGCCCAGGGAGGGACATCCCTCCAGTGCTCCTGGGGGAAATTCCTGCACCTGGGAGGTTGTGCTGGGAATGAGCATCCACCAACATGTCCCAGAAGGGAACGGGCATCCACTGGCACTTTCCGAGAGGGAATTAGCACCCAACGGTGTGTCCTGGGAGAAGTGTCTGCCTGTGCCTCACTGAGGCAATGGTGGGCCTTTCCCACCCCATCCCACCAACCTCCCAGCTGGCCCGAGCCTGCTGACAGCCTGATTTTTTACAGTATTAGGAGGGAATCAGAGGAAATGTCCTTTTGGGACATCACTGTGTCCCCCTGGAAGAGCCTGCAGGTCCTTCTGGGTGACCAGTGCTCTGCAAATGGCTCTGCAGGTACCAGGCTGTGTCCTGGGGAGAGCAGCATGGACACAGCCTGGCTGCCTCCATGTGTGTCAGGCATGAGGAATCCAATACTCAGCATCCAAAAGCACCAAGAGACATGTTGGGTACATTCGCAAGTGTATGGTATCAAGGAGTCTTTGCAGGTGTCCCCCCCATCTCTCGACCCTGGTGAGGCCACATCTGGAGTACCGTATCCAGCCCAGGGCTCCTCAGTATGTGAAAGACAAGAAGCTACTGAGGAGGGTCCAGCAGAGGCCATAAGGATGATTTGGGGTTTGGAGCATCTCTTTTGTGAAGAGAGATTGCAGGAGCTTGGCCTGTTTAGAGCAGTCTGAGAGGGGATCTTACTAATGCATATAAATACCTCAAAGGTGGGTGCCAGGAGAATGGTGCCAGACTCTTCTCAGTGGTGCCCAGTGCCAGGATGAGGAGCAATGGCCATAAACTGGAACACAAGAAGTTTCAAGTCGACGTGAGAGGGCTTCTTTACTCTGAGTGTGGCAGAGCACTGGAACAGGCTGCCCAGTGGGGTTGTGGGGTCTGAAGACATTCCAAACCCACTTGGACACGTTCCTGTACAACCTGCTTTGGGTGGCCCTGCCTTGAGCTGGACGATCTCCAGAGACCCCTTCCAACCCGAGCGATGCCGGTGACCCCCGAACGCTCCCGGGGACGTCCGACAGGCGATGCGGGCGGCGCTCGGCGCTGCCGCAGCACAGGAGGAGCGTTTCCAGGCCAGCGCTCGGGGCGGCCGCTGGGGGTTTGTGCCGGTTGTCACACAGACACTTCCCCTCCCGCCGGCTTCTGGGCCGCCTCCGGGTGTGACACCCGCTGCCGCGGCCCCGGCTGGCTTTTTTGGGATGCCCTAGTTGTGCCGCCGCCGTCCCGCAACGTGCCGGGCGCACACGTGGGTCGGGGCTGCGATCCAGGCCGAGCGCCGGCCCCGTTTCGGAGGGCCAGGGAGCGCGGGGCCGTGAAAGGGGGATCTTGAGGACGTCAGCGCTCGTTTGTGCTTCGCAGCTCCCAATCCCATGAAAAGGCCGAAACTGGCGCTCTTCTTCCTTCGCCGTTCAGAATGAATCCCTGAGGCGGGGAGACGATTCCCAATTATTTTTCTGGCATCAGCCCAGAGATGGAGAGGGTTGGGGGGGGGGGGGAGGTTAAGGCACTGTAGTGTGTTCATCATCCTCTTCCCAATGCCCTTAAAAACACAGATTCCTGGGTCTGCACTGGCTTAGTGCTTCAGTTGACGATCACAACTACACTGAAGGGAACTCCTGGAGGCTGCTCACCCCACAGAACAGCCCCGGTGTCTGCCGAGCCATTCCGGGCTGTGCTGGCTACCCAGAAGGACCCACGGGCTCTTCAAGGGGATGGGGTGATGTTTGGAAAGGGGCATACACTGAAGAATCAGGCCATCACTGGGCTGGTGCTGGCTGGGAGGAGACCCCCACGTCCAGGCGGTCAGTGGGACAGGGTAGGAGAGGTCCAGTGTTACCAGAGGGATCAAAGCCAGACAGTGGCATTGAGGTAGGTGGCACAGTTGCTTGCTCCATCACAAACGTTCCCTGCCAGCACCCTGTTCTCTGCGGATAGCCCTGTGCCCAGGCCCCAAACCGGGGATGAGCTGCCTTCCTGCAGTCACTTCCAGCTTTCCCAAGGAAATCCAGCTACTTTAGTAGTAGGTGGGAGCACCAGCGCTATTTCTCTGTGCAGCACTGCTCATCCTGGGAACAACATCCACTGGGGCTTCCCAGCAGGGAACTCTCCTGATGTAGGAGCTGTGACCCCAAGCAGGAGGAGGTGGTGTGTACGTGCTATTCCATGCTCTGTGGCATCCCACCAAGATGGGCCCTGCATCTCCTTGTTGCTACTCTCCTAATGAAGCCTCCTCTTCTGGGGAATACTAATTGCAGAAAGGTCAATTGGGATCTCACAGAGGGAGGCAGGGAAGTGTGATCCTTGGCCAGAAATACCCGACAAAGCGTTTTCAAACAGCTGAGCCATTTTCCATCCAGTTGATCTATTTCTGTTGTTGGATGTGACACTGCCTCCTCTTCTCCCTCGCTGATGCCCACGTGAAGCAGTCCCAGGCTCACCACATCTCTGTGAGGGACGTGATTCTCTCTGTCCCAAGAGGAGGGACTGGGGGCCACAGGATTTGCCTTCCTGCTGCAGCCAGTCCTTGAGCATTGTCCCTGCCACAGTGATGGGGCTGCAGTGCTGGGGTGGCCGTGAAGATGCTCCGAGGGCTGGAGCACCTCTGCTATGGAGACAGGCTGAGAGAGCTGGGCTTGTTCAGCCTGGAGAAGAGGAGGCTCCAGGGACACCTTAAGAGCAGCTTCCAGTGCCTAAAGGGACCAACAAGAAAGCTGGAGAGGGGCTTTTGACAAGGGCAGGTAGGGACAGGACAAGGGGGAATGGCTTTAAACTGACAGAGGGGAGATTGAGATGGGATCTGAGGCAGAAGTTCTTCCCTGTGAGGGTGGTGAGGCCCTGGCACAGGTTTCCCAGAGAAGCTGTGGCTGCCCCATCCCTGGCAGTGTTCAAGGCCAGGTTGGACAGGGCTTGGAGCAACCTGGTCTGGTGGAAGGTGTCCCTGCCCGTGGCAGGGGGTTGGAACTGGATGAGCTTTAAGGTCCTTTCCACCCCAAACCATTCTGGGATTCTATGGAAACCCCTGGGTGACATAGGGTGTCACAGCAGCCAGTGGCTGATGCAGGTTCAACCTCCATCTCATTTGCATACACAGAAATTTCCCTATGCAATCCTTGATGGAGCTTCTCCAGCTCCCAGCACTGCTTTAGCAAAACTGCATGGACAAATCCAATGGAAGGAAGGCTCTGTGGAACCTGAAGCCTGGCCACGTCCCCTGGGAACAACACAGTGCCTTCTGCTCTCAGTCAAGCTGCTACACCCCATTGCTAAAGCAATCCAGTCACCGCAGCTGACACAAAGGACTCCGTTAGTGACAAACAACAGGACTGAGAGCAAGCACACATCTAGTGTGTGAGATGAAGGTGCAGATACACAGGGGAAGGCAACAGCGGGGTTGGAAGCAGCTTGGAGCACGCAGCTTCTTTCCAGAAGCTGCAGAGATGCAACCAGGAGGCTCTGCAGGTCCTTTGGCACCCCAAGGGGGGAGAGAAGGGGCAGCAGTGAGCCCGAGGCTTGAGCAGGACTGATCCTCAGCGGGGATATGGCCCTGTGCTGTGAAATAGAGGAGCTGTAGATGCCCAGGCCAGAGGAAGCTGCGCTCACAGGGACAAGAAGGCTGGGCTTTTAAATCCATGTATCCCGATTTCCCCAGCAGCGAGGGTGCTGCTTGGCTCTGGTTTAGCAACTGCCCTTCCCTCTGCACCTCGAAAGGAAGCACTCCCGTGGTGAAACACTGGATCCAGGCCCCCAAAAGAAGCATGAACTCGTGAAAGGGTTGAGTAATGGAAGATTTTCTCCTAAAAGAAAGGAGCAGCTGGCGGAAGTGCTGGCTGATGGGGCCATTGTGTGCTTTGTTATTCTTTTGATTACAAGGTTTGTGTCTACAGTTAGGAAAGAGGTGGAAAAAAACCCTGCATCTGGTGTGAAGGCACCAGCTGGAGCAATTCAAACCCTCCCCTGAGGGGGAGAGCTGAGAACTGCAGCCACAGCACCGCGAGTGGAGGGATGGGCACAAAAGGAGGGCTGCACAGCTCAGCTTCACGCCTCCGTGCTTCAGAAGCACCTGATACTCACAGCGAGGTGATGACGGTGAGGGACCATCAGCCCTGCTTCGTGCCATGCAGGCATCTCTTGGGCTGAATGAGGGGTTTAGAGAGGTGTTTGGAAGGTGGGAGAAGTGCCCCCATTTCTGCTGCGCTGGGGCACAGGGTTCCAGGCAGCTGCTTCAGCTTTGGAGGGGGTGACAGCAAACTGTCTTGTCTCAGAAACAAGAAGCAGGTCTTCTGCAAAGAAATACGGCAGCGAAAGAAGCACAGCGGAGTCGT